CTGTTGGAGCCCAAAGGAATCCGAAGCCAACGGGGAGGTACATGAAGGTGTTGTATGCCTGTGGTTTCCCTTTAAACCAATCCCCAAAAGAAGAACCGCTTAAAGAAAACACACCCATTACACGCTGAAAACGGGGTTTCTGCATAGGTGTTCTTTTGTGGAAAGAAACAAAACACATCTCAATGGGTTTCCGTGGTAAATGGGTGGCACAAAACCCATCCAAACCAATGGAACCCATCTATTTCTTGCCAAACCTAAACCCAAAAACTCCAAGTACTTCATGAGGTTGCTTAAAAGGGGGGGTAAAAAGGGGCCTCTAAGAAAAGGACGCCTGTACAAGAAATCTCAGAGGAACCGAGGAACCCCGAACCCTGTGTTTGGCTTGAGCCCATCACCCCTGACGGCCCTCCGCGTTTACGCTGCGAAGTACTACTATGGATGGTTGCCCTCCCCCGACGTTTCCGGACTGCCTCCAACTCTCCGACTTTGAGCATGCCTCATATGGGTTGGCTTAAACCCTCCCAAGGACTGGTCACTTCTCATGGACGCGAAATCCGCTTCTCGCACCACGAAATGAAACCATGGTTGGAACCGTAGCGTTTGTTGGTATTTGCGTTGGGGAATCGAATCCTTCTAGGGTTTCTGAAGGGTGGTGTGTCAAGATAGGGGTATCCCCCCCAAATTGTTATAACTGTTTCCGTTTGGCTCCACCTTCAAACAACCAAACAAAAGTGGGTACGTACCCGTGCCCCAACACAAGGAACCGCAACCCCATGGATCGCAAAGATGGATACCAGGTTGAAGTTACACGGTCTAACATGGTTTCAATTGGGGGCTGAGCAATGTTCTTGGCCCGCACATGACCATGGGTGACTTTCTCCATTTAGTGGGACTTTGTCTTCTTGTTAGTGGTTTCCACAATGCTCATCCCATGTAAACAACCTTTTGATCAACCCCCAATTTGGGTTTGTCTCAAAAATTCGGGAGCTCCGGAAACTGACGGCTTGCCAGTCCTTTAAACACACCCACTTTTCCGGTATCCTCAAAAAATCAAACAGACAGGGCCATTGATCACACACGCAAATTTGGTTACTGCAACGTCCCCTCGTGTTCAACACTTTTTGTGGGTTCCATCCAAAAAACCCACATCTGTTCAACCAAAAAGTTAAAGTCGAAAGATCCGTGAGCCAATACTGTGGATGGACGAAATCCGTTTCGCACCAACTAAGAAACCGCGGAAGTATTCAATTCCCCCACAAATACCAACCAATCTCATGGTTTCCCCCATGGTTTCATTTGGATTTCGCAGCCATCCACGGTATATAGCAATTTCCCAACAAATCAGCAAATCCAAGACATGATTAGAGTTCTGCCCAGTTATAGAATGTATATTTTATCGTTTGCCTCAATTTTAGTCACTGGAAAAATGGGAAAAACACATGTATCCTACTGTGGATGGACGAAATCCTGCACCACCCAAGAAACTCAGGAATGATGATTCCCCTGTAAATACCAACCAACGTTATGGTTTCAACCATGGTTTCATTTCGTGGTGCGAAATGGATTTCGCAACCATCCGCAGTAAGTCTACCCCAGACTCCTTGGTGTGCAGGTGCAGGTTCCGGGTCTTGGCCCGGTCCCTCAGCAACGCCGTCAGCTCCGGCTTCACCTCTACGAGAAGGGCGGGGGTTCCTCCGAAGGAAAAGGGGTGGCGTTGTTTCTTGGTTTCGCTAAAACTCTAGGGGACACTTCCCCATTCTTTCCAGGGATCCTTCTTTCCAGAAAACCATCAGAACCCCGGGGGAAACAGCTGGTTTTTTGAGAAAAGAACGATGGTTAAAAGAATGGACAAGGAATTCGCCCCTAGAAAAACCAGCATTTTCCCCCAAGTTTGGGGGGTTAGAAGCTGGACCTCCTCCTCCTCCTCCTCCTCCTCCTCCTCCTCCTCCTCCTCCTCCTCCTCCTCCTCCCTCTTCTGCCAACGAAATCCCTTTAAGGCTAAGGCACCCCTCTTAGGGTTGCTTCAAAGGGCAACCGCAGCATATGGGTGTGGGTCAAAAAGTCGGGCCACTCTAAAACAAAATGGATTGCCACGGTCCTTTGCGCTATAATTTGACCCAGACCCATTGCAAAGAAACCACTCACTTGTTTGGGGCAGGGAGGCTTCTCTTGAATTTGAGACAAACCGCAATGCTTTTCTGGGATAATCGAGGGGATGTGTGTGTGTGTGTGAGCGAAACAAGTCTGCTGGTTGTCCCTGTTAAGACTAGCCAAACGGGGCAGGGAAGAAACTCAGGGTGGGCGATTTCTCGTTCCACCCACAAAACCTACCCAGATTCCGGGCCCGGTCCCTTTAGGGGTCTGCAAACAAGTCGATTCTGGAAAAAAACCATCGATCGGACCCATCATTGCACCCCAACTTCACTGGTGTCTGTATTATTTTTTCGAGTTGGCACCCTTTTTTGGCGGTGTCAAAAGGGAAACCAACAGGAACGTCCACCGCACGCACCATCTCACAGACTTCAGCGTGCACTGGAAGATGAAAGCCCGTTTTCTGACACAAAAGCTGTGCACTTTGCCTAGTTCACCTCCTTGGCGGCGACGTCCGAAATCTCGCACGCAGCTTCAACATAACAGTTGGAACCGAAAACGGGGCTCACAAACCACAAATTGCGACCTCTCAGAGAGTAATCCATGAAAACCTGGAGTCTCCTTTTTGTGGGATCTCTATTTGCCATGCCTCATTGCGGACACGCGTGGATCCTACCCGGACCTTCATGTTTGCAACGGGAAGCCATCAAGCCTTTCACCGCTATGCGACACTTGTGGTTTGAGACTTTGTTGAGGTAGTCGTACAAATATGCACTGTGACATGCATAAATGTATATAGTCTGGATATCTATATAGAGTATGCATATACACATATATATATATAGTGTAGGGCCCCGGCCTAGGCCGGCCAGCCATGTGTCTATACACATATGCATATGTAAACACCTCTGTACATTAGTATATATATATACACATAATAACATATATATATATATATACAAGTGTACAGATATATATTCGTATACTCATATGCATACACGTTGCACATGTTCTACGTATGGCAAAGGACGCCGCAGCCAATTTTTGGTTCCTCTAGTTTGAGACAAACCCATACAAGGTATGAGTTCTCACTTGCCCAAAGGACCCAGAAATAAAAGGTTAACCTTTTGGGGTCATGACTAACTAGACCAAAAAGGAGCAACCACAAGGTCAAAAGGTCGGCTTTGGGCAACTGAGAGTTTCAATAGGCAACAATCTCAACAAGTGGGTATCAAGTGGGTTGGTGGACTGAATTCCCACCTCAATAGTGCCCACCAAAGGATCCACCAACGGGGTCCTGCAAAATGATTGGTTTCCTTTTGGTCTCTTTTCAATAAACCCACTCAAAACTGGTTGCTGCTGACCCTGCAACAAGCTTTTAACAATTGTTGTGAAACCCACACTCATTTCAACCAAGAAGTTAAAGTCTAAAGATCCTATAGGGAGAAAGTTCAAGACATACTTAAGAGGAGTTCTTGCTCCCTCATTAGTACGGGTTTTTGCTTTGTACAAGTTTATATATATATATATATATATATCTATCTATCTAAGAGCAATGAAGAACAGGGGTCCCCTCCCATGTGTGAGCCGGGGTAAATTCACTTGAGCACATGGAGCCAGCCTCCAGCGCAAGAGAGTGCAACATCTCCCCCTGACTCCTGGAGATTCCCATAGAGCCCGGAGAGCCCGGTGGAGAGCCCGGTGCAGCCCGGGGTTTGGCAGTTCGTGGTTTGGATTGTTGGTTGGGAGGTTGCTGTAATGACCCCTCTGCAAACAGTGTTGAAACTGTGTCTGGGTCCAAGTCGGAACATCCGAGTCCAAAGATCCGTGGCCAAATAGCCATAAAGCTGGGGGTTGTCTGAAAATAGTATATGGAAGCCTCATTTGATGAGTGGCTTCCTTTGGTTTTCCGACAAAAAGAAGACCCCCTTGTTGGGCACCTTTCGTATGAAAAGGAACACCAACGGGCCCACCAATCTGAATTTCCGAACCAAAAGGGAGTGGATGTGTTCTAGGTTCATCCGTACGGGAACAACCCAGCAAACCCAATGACTTTTTGTGAGTCAAGCGGAAAATCTGGGCCTTACTACAACAAGGTCCACGCATGGGAGGGAGGTTTGTTTTGTTCATGTGCCCCAGGACAAGATTCGTGTGTCAAACAATTCCCTCCGTAATCCGCAGTGTGACACTACTACCCAGGAGACCTAACCATTTGACAATTGTTGAGTGTGAACCTACTTCTGTGTTCCCGATTAGGAGTTTGTCCCCCCGCTTTTTGGGGCAAGTTTGGGTCGTCCCATGCTCAAAGAAACCACGTGATTTGCACAAAGGTCCACTGGGCATGGCTTGGCAAAACACTTTACGTATTCTTGCAGCCTACTAAAAACTCGGCTGCCCTCAGATCCCCGGCTAAAAGTTTCACTTTTAGCGGGTTAAATAGAAACTACCAATTAACACTAAAAAGCTAAAAGGTTAAGGGGATGGCTGGGAGCCACCAAGAAAATGAAGAGAACCAACAAAAGCAAGAAAAGACACCTTGCCAACAGTGAAATTATAATATGTCGCTATCGACCAAAAGCGTTGGGACCGTGGGGCCACATTTTAGCGACCATGCGGAAGGAACCCCTAACTATCTTGGACAACGCTCCAAGAAGCTCAAACTCCAAGGGGCCCAGCTCCCACTGCGCGAAGCCAAAAAAACCCACGTGCAATACTGAGACCAGGCTACTAGGCACTCACCAGTTTTGATGGTCTTCCAAACTTTAAACACCACAGACCAAAGGGGCCCCGTTTGAGAAAAAACCCAAATAGCAGCTTCGTCCTTTTGGCTTCCTTTGAACCACCTTTCCTTTGAACCAACCTGAAAAAGCAACCTTCAATGAGTTGCGTCTTCTTGTGGGGGCACCCCTCAAAATCACGATTTTCCGTTTGGCATCCCGTCAAAACCACCAAACCTGGGGTACCAACTCCAAAACACAAACAAACCCAAAAGGGTATCCCCAAGAACCACAAACCCCCACTACCCTCCAAAACTGGGCTGTCCTTTAGATCCCATGCCAAAAGTGAATAACTTTTAGTGTTATTGTACATGGAAACCGACCAAAGCTAAGTTGAACCGGATGGCCGGGAACCAAGAAACCCTCCCTACTGTGGATGGATGAAATCCTGCACCACCTACGAATCCCTGGAATTATTCGATTCCCCCTGGATCTTCGTCCTCCTGAAAAAAAAACGTAGTTTCCGCCTTTGACTGGATATTCGGGAAATCGTAGCACTTTTTGCCGCAAAAACCTGAAACTCCTAAAACTCCTCAAAACCACACTATTGCAAGGCTCGCGGCCTTTGACAGGTTAAAAGAAGCTTTGCAGGGTAAACGACTCAAAGCAGCCCGAAAGTTTGTCAACACATGCAACGGCGGTCCAAAGTTGTGCAGTGCAGAAACACGTACCCATTTTGACCGCAAAACGCCCGCAAATTTCCGCAAATCTCCCGCAAAACCCCGCAAACTCCCGCAAATCAGAAAAAGTCGTAGTTTTGATGATCAAGGCATCCCATGCGGTTCACTGGCACGTTGGCAATTGCTGCGAGGTGAATTTACTTTGCATGGCCAATGCACGACTGGAAACGACGCAATTCGTATGTGTTTTTGCCCAAATTGTAGCTAAACCACTGGAATTCGGTAAATCGTAGGGGTCTCCTGAAACACCCAGAAATTTCCCGGAGTTTGAAGGTCCAGGCCCTTTAAATACCACCAAACGTGATGGTTTCATTACCACGGTGTCATTAACCGTGGTGCAAGGTCTCGGATTTCGCACCGATCCCCAGTATTTTGAGGCAATCCCATTTTGACGCTTTTCTTTAGTGGATGGAGTCCGAAAGGTCACCAAGCTTGTTCCTAAAGTTTCTCCAATTTCTCCGAACATCCGCCCTCTGCCGGTCACTTCCCACTCCAAAACGTTCCAAACCCATCCACCGCAGCTGCAGCTCCGACTCCGCGGCTCCTGGGGCTCAGGGGGTCGCCAGGCTTCAGCCTGGAGCTCGGCGAAGCCCGGCGTGGGTGGGGGGGTGGGGTGGGGGGTGGGGTGGGGGAAGGGGCTGAAATATGTTTTGAGGGTCATTTTGTTGGGGGTTGGTTTAAAGGGAACCATAGAAACACAATCCACTCTCGGGGGAACCCCGAATTAATTTAAGACACACGCAGCAATCAACATGTACTGAGGACGAAATATGTTGATTTTCCAGTATCCCACACACGACCCCATTCCAATGATTTAGGCCCTGCTACACTCAAGTCTACCGTGGAAGCCAACATAAACGGCAATTGAAAGAAAATCCCTTAAGGAGCCCTGCTAAACATGGGTGGTTTCCCTTTGGCTTCCCTTTTGAAGGGCAACCCCGACAAGGGCACCCTCGAAGAAACGCAAACTCATGGCGCCATACCATGCCAAACAGGTATGCGAGGCATGCCACGAACTTCTCTCCTAGACACCCGATCAGTTCTCGGCCCAACAAAAAAACACGTTGGCTGGCATCCTTTCGGGATCATCCATCCGTCCAAAAGCCAAAAGGTCAAATGGCAGAACCTTTGCTTGAATCGGAAACCCCTCAAGGTCCAGTATATTCAACCCAACTTTCGCGCTTTCAGCTGGAGATGATGGAAGCGGGACGTGTGGAGCGGTAGGATGCCGACGCCTGTCCGGAACACAAGGTTGAAACCCCTCGGTCCCGTAGACTGTCCGAACGTTGAAACCATGCCGACGCCTGTGCGGAACACAACATAGAGGCGTCGGCACCATGGTTTACACTTAGAAGCATGACGCTTTGATGCACCCCATAACCCCTAGCTGCCCCCACATTTAGCAGCTAAAGCATGATAAAGCCGCGCCTCCGGATGAGCTCTGGCAATGAGACCGGCATCCTGCCGAGAAGCGAACGGCAAAAGGTGAAAACAGCTTTTGCGGAAAAAACAGCATGTGTTGCTTGTTGACATATTTCTGACACAAAAACAATCGATCATGCTATGTTTCTGCGATATGGTTGTTTGGGCAACACATGATGTCGTCTGTTGACATTCTGACGGCATTATTTCCACAGGCAAGTAACGACAATGATTAAGCTTGTCCGACAGCAAACTATTGCCACACAGGTAAGCAAGCACAATGCTGTGGCTCTGTCAACATCTGGTCAAACTTGAAAACATCAGGCTGGAGTTCTTTCCTGGCATAGCTTTGGCACAACGAGTAAATCAAGTAACCGCTAGTTGGTGGTCTGGATTCGTGGCTTGGGTTTGGATTTGGCCCCCTGCTTCTTGTAGAGAGTAACGGGGAAACTACTCATTTCTCACTTCTGAGTGGACTGGCCAAAAAAAGTCCACACAGTTTGTTTGCCACTAAAATGGTCCAAACTCAAAAAGCTTAAAGTCAATGAACTCAGGGAGTGAGATTTGCAACCAAACCACCCTCCGCTCCAAGCTGCTTAGAGGGAAGCTGGGTAAAGGTGCCAAACGGCTGAGCTCGCAGCCAAGGACCTGTTCTTGGGCCTTCCCGGAACCTATGGCTTTAAAGGCTTTTGTAATGCTTCTTGTCAAGTCGGAAAACAACCACAAATGAACGATCAACATGTGTTAAACTAAAAAAATGGCTTTGAACAGGTTACCAACCAAAGAATTTGAGGGGGGGGTCCCTATGAACATTCCTTTCCCTCAACGGAGCTGAAACTCCGTCACAGCATTCAAGGGGGGCAATGGAAATCCTCTCGGCTTGATTCATTTCAGGAGAGACAATCCAATCAAGACACAACTTCCCCCGATTTTCGCCAACACAAGAAAAGGATTCCGGTCCACAGGGATCCAAGTGAACAACTGTCAAGCTACTTGATTTGAGAGCTGGACAACGCGCTTTTTCGGGGCACGGGCAAATCTGGGCTGCCCTCAGATCCTCCGCTAAAAGTTTAACTTTTAGTGGTTTAAATGGAACCTACCACTAAACACTAAAAGGCTAAAAAACTCAGGAACCGGACGGCTGGGAGTCACCAACACACAACTCATCTCATCTTTGGCTTCCTGCTGTCCGACTCGTCCAGGAGCAGCAGCTGCTGCCTTTGTTTGCGCTGCTCCTCCACCTGCTTCCGTTCCTCCAGCTCCGCCTTTTGCTGGTACTCCTGGCCGGACCCTGACTACTGTGGATGGACGAAATCCATTTCGCACCACCCAAGCAACCCTAGAATGAAGATGGCCCTGTAAATACCAAGAAACAATGGTTTCAACCATGGTCTTAAAGTGGTGCAAGATTTCGTCCATCCACAGTAGGTCCTCCAATAGAGAGGTTAGAATAAGTTTGTACCCGATTTAGTCTATTTTAGTAGGGGAACCCTCCCAACCCAAAAAGGGGTGAGAAGGGCACCTAGCTGGTGGACCTGGCTGAATGTTCGATGCGCCAAGTTAGTATGTGGTGATCGCCATTTGGGGTAAAACCCTGTAAAACCCCACATTCATGGGGGACTTAGAAGTGGGTTATAAGCAAACGGTTCCCGTTACCACTTGCCCACTTGCCGAATCGACAATTCGAAGCGAATCGAAAACCTTTGTCTTGAATCTGATGCATGGCTCGTGTCGCTCAACAGAGGTTGGGACAAATTTTGGGACACTCTACAGCTCACTTCCTAGGTGGCTTGGCCAAAAAAAGGCCAAAATTCACCTAGAGTCTCCTTCCGATCCTTACAATATGGTTGGTCATTACCCAACATGTTGGGGACATGACCCCATTTTTAAAGGGTCATGGAGACTCCAGGTACCCTAACATGGTCTTCCCAAAGAGTTTCAAGTCCAGAAACTCGGGGAGTGAGACAGGGAGTTTGAAAGTCCGGGAAAGTTATCCAAACGATTTTCAACATGCCCCCAACTAGCACGGTCCTTCGGCCCATGCGCTATACAGTGAATCCCGTCTGCTGCTAGGTGACCTGCAAGTTTCCCTCGTTCAAGGAAGGCTCCCCAGTTACCTATGCAGGTAAAGGGTCCGCAGGGGTTGTCTAAACCAGGCCCCGCATCAATCATTCACATAGAACTCTAACCGACCCTCCTGCGCGGAAAAAATCCCCTTTTTGAAGACGTTGGTTCGCAAATGTTTTGACATCGTCTTTCTCCGCCTCAAAGTGGCAAGGGAATCTCTTGACCTCGAGAAGCCTTCGATGTGAGCGAATTGCTCTACTTTCTTCTGTGCAGTTCTGCCGGTTCAACTCTGAGACATCCCAACTGCAACCAGCGTGGGTTGAGCGGGGGATCCAAACACCTCTACAGTCACTCCACAAGTAAATCCCTTGGTCGCCCAAACCCTCACCGATCGAGTGGATTTTGCAAAAATCGCGTCCACACTTTTCTCATTCTGGAAGACTCTATTCCTTAAAAAAAAGGTCCAATTCTCCGGCGGGTTCCATGGCAACGACAGGGTAGCACTAAAATGGCCACCGAAGCCCAAAGAGTGACATTTCAGGCAGGTTTCCGGAACTCGGAAAATGCGAATCCCAATCATTCAGCTGCCGGCGTAGCTCTCGAACCCAGTCCCATGAGCCAAGACCTCGTCAACAAAACCTTGGAATTAACGTCCACTTGGGTGTTTCTCAAAATTAGAGACCCCTCCTGGTTTCGCTTGGAGTCAATCCTTTAAAACCTATCCAAAGAGGTCCCCTACTGTGGACGGACGATGGAATGATTCGATTCCCCTGATAAATGCCAACAATGGTTTCAACAGAGAGTTCCACCATGGTGTCACTTCGTGGTGCGAAATGGATATTTCGCGTCCGTCCTCAGTATTTTGAGACAAGTCCATTTTGAGGCTTCCCTCAAACAAAGCCACCAAACTTCTTTGATTCACCTCTCAAATGGCAACCAAACCCAAAACGTGACTCAAGTCCCAGTTCCGGAACTCAGGCAGCGAGTTAAAATTCAGGGCCGGGTGAACCCCCCCTCCCCCCCCAGACCCGGTAACTTAGGGGCTGTGCTGTAAACACTTGGTTGACGTTGGAAGGGGAGCAGCAAAAAAAAGAGGTTAGCAGTTCAGTGGAGATTTCAACTACTAAACCACAACAAGCAATGTAAAATCTTTCCCAACAACAACCATGACACAGGGGATCCATGGCCGCACTTGACTCGACGCTCCTGCGCCATATCCTGCAGCCGGATCTGCCACTGCAGCGCTTGCAGCCGCGCCTCGCGCTCTCTCGCGCTCAAGGCGAACCCGAAGGGAAGCCGCCCAGCGCGCGCATTCTTTTTCTTGCTTGCGGGAGTCGGGAGTGATAGAAAGAAGGATCTCTGGAAAGACTGGTTGGAAGTTACCACTAGTTCTAAGAATTTTGGGGGAGGCCCCTATTTTGACACACTCAAATAGCACCGTAATACTGTGGATGGTTTCGAAATCCAGGCAACGCACCACCCAAGAAACCCTAGAACGACTTTCGATTCCTCTGTAAATACCAACAAACAATGATTTTCCCTGTAGATGGGCTTGTCTGTTTGTGGGTGTGGGACTGGTCCTGAGTCGGAAACGAAAAGAACACTGCAAACTACCCAAGGACCCTTCAATCAACTTCAATTAAACAGGTGAAGAGGTTGGCTTTGGGCTCTGTTGGTAATTGTGTAACCGGTCTTGTTTCGTAGCGACATCTTGGCGTCGCGGGCAATGGCTCGGATAAAAAGGTGCACACATAGCCGATGCAGTCAATTGGCTTCTGACCCAAGTTGACCCAAGTTGTTTTGTCGGGGCTGGGTGGGGTGGGGGGTGGGGTGGGGGGAAGAAAGCCTTTGGGGTGATGTTTAAACCCGCAGATGCTATCACCCCTCCCACTATGTTCATGCGAAGGTTCCGCAAGGCCTCAACCATGCTGCAGGATGCCAGTTCTTGCTAATCAATGAATATTGGGCCACAGCATGTCCTCCATACAAAGCGCAGGATCTCAGTCACGGTAAAACAATATGCATCGGCTATGGGTCAACACCCCGGTGCCCCGGTGAACACCCAGAAAGCCTTCCAAAAAGACAACAGTGGAGTAACCATCCCCATTTTTGGCACCTGAGGTTTTGACCCACAACCATGATTAGAGTTAGGATCAGGTAGAGAGTATGTTATTGTTTGCCTCAATTTGAGTCACTGGACAAAATGTTAAAACGTATCCCAAGTCTACTCCAGTTCAATGTCAATCAAGAAGGGCACCGCACCACTGGATAAGTCTGGGTCTCCCTCCCGGTCGCCTCAAGCTCCTGGGGCGAGAGCTGGCCTGGATGCTCCTCCTCCTGCTACATGCCAAAAAAATGCCAAAACCGAGCCTGGCGTTCCTGACACCAGGGTCTGGTCTCCATGCTTTGGAAAAACCTTGCAGCCAAAGCTTTCTGGTTAAGACCCCTGGAAAAAATAATAATATGTCCAGTAGTGATAGATTCCCTTTAAAACCAACAGGGGAAAATAAAACGTTCTTAAGCAAATGGAAGAAAATGGGCCAAACACCACCCATTTTTGTTGGACTTGGGTGACGTCAGGGGTTCGCAACACCCACACCGGCTCGAATGGAGCTGTACCAATTCAAAATATGTGCCGATGGCCATGATGTGTTCTCTAAATGGAAAATTCCTGGCTTTGCATCAGCCCACCCTACGTTTGATCTGCAAAGCCATGATAATTCTCCCCCCGCCCCAATCAAGTTCCTGGGCATGCATGTGAGAGCTCGTCTTCAACCTGGATCAGTAATCTCTCAACACTTCGAGCTAATCTGACTGGGAGCGTCTTGTTTGTTTGCTTTTGGTTTGGCTGCAGGTTTGATGGTTTATTATTTGTTTGTTTTGTTGGGTGTCTGTTTCTTCTTTTTTTTTCATTTTTGCATTTACTAGTTTCATTTTCTGTGCCTGCCTGCCTGCCTGCCTGCCTGCCTGCCTGCCTGCCTGCCTGCCTGCCTGCCTGCCTGCCTGCCTGCCTGCCTGCCTGCCTGCCTGCCTGCCTGCCTGCCTGCCTGCCTGCCTGCCTGCCTGCCTGCCTGCCTGCTTGTTGCTTGATTGTTTCTTGGCTTGCTTGATTGCTTGTTTGCTTGCTTGTTTGCTTGCTTGCTTGCTTGTTTGATTGGTTGCTTTTTTGTGTGTGTCGCATGCTTGCAATACTGTAGATGGTTGCGAAATCCATTTCGCACCACCGTTCAGAAACGAAACCCTGCAATGGTGATTCCCCTGTAAATACCAACGAACACTGGTTTCAACCATGGCTTCAAAGTGGTGTGGGATTTTGTCCATCCACAGTATTGAAGGAAACCACAGCGCCGCCGTTTCTGCCTGCAAGTTACGTATTTTAAGGTAGCCCCTGCTCAAACGAAACATGGATAGGGCGAAAATTGCGGAGTCGAAGTAGTCATGAACAAGACACGTGACACAAACTGCAATGCACACCCCATCTCCAGTAATTAGCCATGGAAAACACGGCACTTTCTTTTTTTCTTTTTTCGGTGGTTGATTCTAGAGGGAACTCCCTCAAAGAAGGAAACACAGAAGCAAGCCGCCGACACACAACCGCAACGTCAAGGGGGTGAAGTCCACCATCTCAGTCTGTTGCCGGGATTAATCTCTCCACAAATTGATTTGCCCGACGCTGCTTCGCAGTTTTAACTGCTTCCAAAACCCAAGGACCACCGAAAACTGGCCGTTTTTTCCTGAAGTCAACTGAAACGCAGGGTCCTCCTATTGAAAAGACCAATGTATAATCGATTGCAAGCCAGGCCCGCCCAAAAGCAAACATTTGAGAACCCGTTCCACATGTTCCCTGTAACGGGCTGCAAAGAAGCCTTGGTTGGTTGACGTTGGAAGGGGAGCAACAATTCTCAAACTGTAGCAGTTCAGCGGTTGGATATTTCAACCACTAAACCACAACAAGCAAAAATGTGCGAAATGTTTCCCAACAACAACCATGACACAAGGGGATCCATGGCCACCGCCCCCACAAGGGGCTGCCTTAAGAAGCGGAAAACAACCGACAAATCCCTGGAAAATGGCCGGCCGCTCCCAAGTCCCAAGGCCTTCTTCGGCTGCTTCCCCTTGGCCTGCGGTGCTTCTGGGATGGGTCAAAAATAGGGCAACCCCAAAATAGGTTGCCCTGGTAAGTCACTGGTAAGTGGAAACATAGACTAAAACCTGCGGTCCATATCCTGGTGGTTTAATTTTGACTCAGACCCACTTCTGGGATGCCGTCGGGGAAAATGGCAAGGCAAACCAGCCAGTTTGAGGAGTTGTCCCATATTTATGAGTTGCCTCAAGTTCAATAATTGCAACAAACCCATGCAACAACCATCCAGTTTGGGGAGTTTTCCCATAGTTGCCTCAAGTACAACAAGGGCTCAGCGCCAAGCACCATGGGTGACAACTCAAACTCCGAAAGGCCAAACACTTGCAATAAACGCAAACGCACACATGCACACAATTGAAACAATGAAACCATTGCAATAAGTGCACAAAACACCACTCAGCTACTCCTGCCAAACAAATGTTTACGTGTTCATATGGGGGGGGGTATGTTGAAGAGACTGTTTGAGGCTTTTGCTGGGAAAGAACTCAAACAAAGGTGGGGGGGGGGCAGGTGTCAAATCCCTGCAAAAAAATGATAGCAACTTGCTGTGCTGATCACACTGACCAACTGGGTTAGCCATTTTATATTGCACCTAACATGGTCTTCCCAAAAAGTTTAACATGCAAGAACTCGGGAAGTGAGAGATTGAACCTCATTGACCTTGCTCTGAACATGCAACGGTTGTCTACTTCGACAGGGAGGGGATGTTTCATATGTTATTTTATTTTTTCTGACACGACACCGGACTGCCTCCCCAACATAGGCGTTCTTTTTGGGAAAATTGATGGCCCTGGCAGTTGATTGGACCACCAGGCAAACCAGGGCCCTCTATTTTTCAAGCAAATCAACCAAAAAGGACACCTATGCTCCCCAAAATGCGCGGTGGTGCCTCAAAAATTGCCTCGGGCCCCGAGGCAAGATCTGCAGGCTTAGCGTCGTTTGCTGGATGAACGTCACTTTCCGAAGCGGTCAGTACATTTCTCGGTTGCTTTCTGCTCCCCTGCTAAAAGTTTAACTTTTAGTGGTTTAATGGAACACCCATTAAATTAGTTGGCAAAAAGTTAAAGTCCTAACATCCAAGCAAAATGTACCAAAGATTTGCCGCAAGCCAAACGTCACACCAGTTCAGTCAGAAAAGCTTCAATGGCCTGCATTCCTTTTGCAACATGCAGAAGCAATGCTCGGCCCAGGGGTTTTTAGGCCATCCGTCTGAACATTACCCCAGCCCTCAAAAACCTGAAGGCTTCCTTTTTGGACGGGCAGAAAAGGCAAGGATTCAAATGGCTCGATTCCTCCTTTTGTTCAAATCCTGAAACAACAGAACATCTATCCACCATAGGACCAAATTCTAGCGGAGTTCCTTGCTTTTGGCAGGCAATTGGCCAACTTCCTCTAAAATTACGCAATGTTCTTAAGCAAATGGATGCTTGAGGAGCCCTACTTAGATGGTCTGGGAGTCTCCGCTACATGGCATCAAATGGCTAGTACCCCTGGCCGTAACACACTGACAATGGTTGTAAGTCCCCTGTAACCAGGGCAAAGCTAGCCATTTAGCGATTTGTCCCAGACCATCGAAGTACGAAACTTCGTCAGGCTGCATCCTGCCTTGGCCTTCTTGTTCCGCGAAGTCTTCGGCCTGCGCAGTGCAGGCAGAGTGGGTTGTCTCAAAATCGGTTAAACAACATGGAGCCATCTTACGGTAGGTGATCGTTTTGGCCTAGAGGCCTATGTGAGCGTGTCGTTTTCTTGTTTTTGCTTAAACAAATGCCACCCAGCCAACACAAAAAAAGAGAGTTTCTTTTTGGGGGTCCATTGAAACCACAAAAAATGTACCCTCAAAAAGACACGCCGATGTACTTCTGATGTTCTGTTGCGATATGGGCCGTGCATCGGAAAATGCTTTGTTGGTAAGTGGCTCATTGGCTCATTGGCTGCTTGCCATTTTCTCATTTCCTCGTAGCTCCAAGTACCTCATGAGGATAGCTTTTGGCGGGTAAAAAGGGGTCGAAGCACCTCCCAAGAAGGTAAGGGACCCTCTGGGTGCGATTGGCAAATTGTTTGCCACGTAACATGGTCCAACCAGCGTAAAGGATCCAGCTGGGACACCTTGCCCTTTTCCCCCAGCCTCAGCTGAACGCGCTTTGGGGTCGTCTCCAGAAAGCAAACTGGGCTTGGGCCAGCTTGAGGATCCAAAGATTCGGATTCCGGAAGTTCCGTCACCTGGGCTTCCAAAGAAGGAAATCCGGGGCTCATGGATTTTGATCACTAGCTAAAGGATTTTGAGTGCCTCAAGCCTTATGGCAACCTCCCACCCCCACTAAACCCCAAAAAGCTAAAAACCAGCGGGATGGGTTGGGGAGGGAGCCACCAAGTTGCTGTTTGGGTGTGCCTCAAAATTTAAGAGCGAGGGTTACGCAGGTGTTAGTCTTTGGTTTTCTCATTTAGTTGGGCAGCCATTTTGGGTACACATTTTTGACCCACCGTTTCATGTTGGTCTTTCCGGTCGTGGGCCATTCGAGTCTTCGGATCCGCCTAGGCTCACTCGCCGGCTCGGGCAGGCCGCGGAAGGCGGAGAGGAAGCCGTCGGCGTCCAACTGAAGGCGATCGGCAGCGCAGGTTGCGCCGAAACTTGGCGCTTGGTCCGAGGCTTCGAATGGTTTACGGGGCCCATTTGGACACACCCAAAGGGCTATCCCCATATACCCTCCAAAACTGGGCTGCCCGGTTTCTGATTTTCTTCGAAAAGCGAGTCTAACTTGTGGTAATACGGAAACCACCACGAAACCAACTAAAAGCAAATAAGCTGGGGAACGGGATGGCTGGGAACCAACAAGTTTTTATGGGTGGTTTGTCTTTTAGGGGGACCTCTCAACATGTTTGCTTTCCTGTTGGCTTCCCTTTAGCGTGTCTGTTTTTTGAGGGTCCCCCCCTTTGTGGTTTTAACGGGAAACCAACAGGAACACCGAAGCAATTTCGGGGGTTCCCCCAAAAAACACAGACCCATATGGGCCGTACAGAAAGAAATGCACGCAACCAGGTAGAACCAGCACCTAAGCTGGCCAATGGTTTGGGTGCTCACAGTGTGTGTCTTTTAAGGTGCCTTGAACAGGGCCAGCCAAAAGACCAAAACACCATTGCCGCAGCCCAGTTGTTAACCGGCCAACACCCCCAAACTTCCTTGAAAGATTACGGCTGGAACCTCCAGCTATGTCCAACTATGGGGGGTCGTCCAACCCTGTAGAAAGTAAAGGTGGCCTGTCTCTAGAAGGGAATGTCCAGACTTGAGCTTGTTTGTGGGGTTTGCCGGCTCACTACCCCGTAAACGTGCTCGGCGGCCCGCCGAGCTCTTTTCGGGGGTTGTCAAGTCTCCAACCACAAGCCGTAAGAGCAGTCATCGCCCCTTGGGAGTCACCTTGGGGTGACTGAGCTCCCTACCCTCTAAAAGTGCTCGGAGGGCCGCCGAGCTCTTTTAGGGGGTTGCCAACTCCACAACCCCGTTAAAAAAACAATTGGAAGAAGCGTGTAGCTTGCAGCCAGACACCTCTAGCGGCAAAATACCTGTTCGCACTCAGGCTAAAGGGTGGCCAATGTTCGAACTTCAAGCATGCCGCCGAGCTCCCTTAGAGGCGTAACTTTCCAATCAAATGCCATGACAGTCGTCCGCTCTGCTCCCATGAGCTTTTTGAAGGCGTCACCTTGGAAGTTCTCGGCGAGGATGCACTGCATCGCGTTCGTCCCCACGACTTTATTGGACCGAACACAGCCACGCCAGCCAGTTTCAGGAGATCCCAACGTCCAGCTGTATGGCAAGAAGCAGGTTGATCGCGCAGTGGCTGTGGAACCCGTTTTCTCCAATTAAGGGCACCCCCCGGTTGGGGGTTTCTAAGGGAAGCTATAGGGACACCAACACAGTATAGCTTTGGAGAAGGAATCAATCCTCGTTTGAAAGCGATGCAGGCATCGTGTTTTGGAATGGGACATCCTGTCCCCAAAAACAACTGTAAAACATTGAAAACTAATTGCGTGTAGCCAAATAACAAATTGGGTCATGACCCCTTTTTTAAAGGGTCAGACTCCATGGTACGATTCCAAGATGGCTTCTCCTTTGACCCCCAATCCGCGGTTCACATGCGAGAGTTCCCACAAGCTGGAGCCTTTGGATGGCCATAGCAACATACGCAGCTGCTGCCGAATCTGCGAGTGAGTGGAACAGGGTCATTCCCACAATCCGTTTGCCGAAAGCACCTGGAAATAAGCTGTTGACCGTTCAATACACAAAATAAGCATGGACTGTTCAAGCATCAAGAGGTCAAAAGGTCGATTTCCACCCTAAACACGAAGTATGAGTTTGTCGCAACATGGAGTCAACATTTGAGTTTCAGGGTATCCCCTTTTTGGAGTTGTAAAGGGAAGCCAAGAGGGGAGGGGGTGCGGGGGCGAAAAAAAAGACATCATGTTGACCCCATACTAATCAACCCTAGTTTATGAATAGAGGGTGCTTCCCTCCAAAAGTGACGATTCCCCAAACTCAGGGACACCACCCCATTAATAATCTGGGGTTGATGAATCTGGGGTCAACATTAGCCATTTGTGGTGTTCCCTACTGTGGATGGACGAAATCCTGCACCACCCAAGAAACCCTAGAATGATGATTCCCTGTAAATAATCCACAGTATCATTCGCTTTCCTTTGGAACAGCCCCCAACCACATAAGGCCCTGAGAACCAAAAAGCACAAGACAGACCCGCATCTGAACAGGTCAAAATATGATTGTCACGTAGCCCCACCCCACAAAGCAACCAGAACAAAACACGTCAGATCTGCCCTCTTTGTCGATAATTATCATCCCTTATTGGGATGGGGGAGATGTTTATTGGGCCCTTGACAACCATAGGCTAAATGACAGTGATGTTTTGAACCCAAAACTTACCCACAACCCCAAGTTGGTGGGTTTGGTGGTTTGGACGTTCCCGATTTGGTTGTCAAAAGGAAACCCTCTTCATGTGTCGAGGGCCCCCACCGTGCCGCTGCCGTCCATGTGCAGGCCCCAAAGAGTGCCTCAGCCAGTTTTGGAGGCTGCATGTGAAGGGAAACCGAAAAGAAGCCGGTCATTTTGTACGAAAACTGACTCTGTGTTTCGGGCCTTACTTGATCCTTCACTGGGCTGTCCCCCTTCGATAACCTCCTGAAAGTCTACAACACTTTGTGTGGTGTGGAAACCACCACGAAACCAACTGCACTGCACTAAAAACGTAACCTACGGAAACGGATGCCTGGGAAGCAGCAAGCGAACCCATGCCAAAAGGCATGGGCTCGGCATAACGTCTGTGAAGCGGAGCGGAAAATTTGGCTCTGACGCCTTGTGAAAGCCAGCTCTGCACGTGCCCCTTTTCAAGCATTGCCCTGGGAAGGTTCTTCAAACATTGCAACCACAAGGTGATGATTCAACCACCCATTTTTGGGTGTGTGTCTGTCTTTGAGGGTACCCTCTCTCCCACGTTGCATGGTACCTCCTCCAAGTTCCAAGACCATGTCACTGCGAGGGAGGATACCTTTACCTGTTTCGGGTGGAAACAGGAAACTGGAAGCAACTCCGAAATCCATTTTAGGGGAACCCAAAAAACCGATGAGGACCCCAATGCTTTTGAGGCGCTGGGTTCTCGGTTCTCCCGATAAGTTTGGGCACTGGACTTGGGCCGAAGTGAGTAACTTGCGGGTGAAATGCGGAAATCCTGACCACTAATCCGCCTAAGAACCTCTAAAAAGCTGAGCTGAACTGGATGGCTGGGAAGTACGAAGATGGGAGACCAGAAACTCAGGCAATATGATACATATGGCTAGCTTGCCTTTGTTGGGAGGCTACCTTTCTTGTGGGTTTAGAGGAACACCAAAGGAAGACTCTTTTTTTGAGACGGGGTCCCCTCAAAAAAACACACTCATGTATCAGCGACGTTTTGGCTTACTCTTTGGTTTCCCTTGCAACCGCCACACACAACATGACGGTACACTCCATATTGATATTGAGGAGGGACAGCTGAGTCAAAATCAGAATCTGGTATGGAGGTGTACTCAAAGCATGTAAAGAATCAAAAGGGCAGCACCCTTTATGCTTGGGATTCATTCATTCATTCATTCATCCATCCATCCATCCATCCATCCATCCATCCATCCATCCATCCATCCATCCATCCATCCATCCATCCATTCATTCATTCATTCATTCATTCATTCATTCATTCATTCATTCATTCATTCATTCATTCATTCATTCATTCATTCATTCATTCATTCATTCATTCATTCATTCATTCATTCATTCATTCATTCATTCATTCATTCATTCATTCATTCATTCATTCATTCATTCATTCATTCATTCATTCATTCATTCATTCATTCATTCATTCATTCATTCATTCATTCATTCATTCATTTCATTTCATTCATTTCGTTCATTCCGTTCCGTTTCGTTCCGTTCCATTCGATTCATTGATTCATTGATTCATTGATTCATTGATTCATTGATTCATTGATTGCTTGCTTGATTGAATGATTGCGGCTGATTTCATATCAGGGTGAACTATACTCACTCACCGACCTAAAATAGGGGGCCCCCAACAAGCGAACCTTTATGGGTAAGCTCCGCTAGGTGAGGTCGCTGCAGTTTGCCCATATTTAGTCCACATCCAAAACTGGCATGGTTGGTTTATTTTTTGTTTGCTAGCCCTTGCCTAGGTCCTCCAGTAGAGAGGTTAGAATAAGGGTACCAACTTTTTTCTGTAGTCTATTTTGGTAGGGGGAACCCTCCCCCAAAAAGGGGTGAGAAAGGGCACCTAGCTGGGGGACCTAGTTGCTGTTGCTGAAGCCCTAACATGAGGGAGCTCCATGGTGCTTGGTTTTTGGCGAGGCGGTTTCCATCCGGCGATTCGCGAGACCCTGAAATAAACATGTAGCACACGAGTAGTTAGACACCCCTGCGTCTGCCTGCCCTTTTTCTGCGGACAAGCTGGTAGTCTGCACCACCGTTGCCCACCAGAATGGGACCCGTTTTGTGGGATTGATCATTTTCCACGGAGAAAAAAAAGCAAGGACAAGTCGCTGGTCATTTGCCATGGCAAACAAACTTGGTTGATGTTGACCATCCGCAACAAGTTATCAACCTGTTGTGGGTTCAATGGATAACCCAAATGATTTTAACCAACAAGTCAAAGTCTAAAGATCACCAAATAGCCATAATAAAGCATAGGGTGTGTCTCAAGATAAGATATGGAAGCCTCATTCTATGAGTGGTTTCTTTTGGTTTCCCGACACACAATAACTTAACCCGCCCTGTTTGGGCACCTTTCGCCCAAGGAAGACGCAGGGGCAATCTAAATATCACAAGAAATGGGGGGGAACGTTCACAAGCACGACCCGACCCCTGACAGCCTGAGGCGCCCACGATTTGTGGCCAGGCCTTGCGCCAGAATTCCCACCTCCTACGAGGCCATGGCAGGCGCGAACCGTTGGGTGTTGCTTCGGATGGGACGACCCAAAATGGGTGCACCGTGTTTTGAGGGTACCCCTGTTCTCGGTGGTTTTAAAGGGAAGCCGAAAGGAAACAACGCCATTTGTTGGGTGCCCCTGAAACAGACACGCCCAAATAGCGGGCATTGAGAAATGGCGGTGTTCCTTTTGCAAGAAAAAAGAAAACGCGTTGACCCCGACAAAATCCTTTTGGCACGCAAACACAAATATTGTTGGACGTGTCCGGACATGCATGCCCACAAGTTGTTATCCAAAAGCACTGATATGGAACCTGCTTCAAGTTCTAGGATACGCGGCTTCTTGCGTTCCTTCTAGACATACTTCCTTTCGGGAAATTGCAACACAACAAGGAAATGGTGTCTCTCTGAAGATAGGTGAGAGAACAGGAGGTCCAACAGATCAACCTGAAAGATAGAGCAGGGGATGCCCTCAGCGGTTTTATGTTGCCTCAAAGCCTGAAAAAACAAGGTCTGTGCCAAAGCCCACCGCTCACAACATCCCTTTCTGTAAAGGTATTGGCATCCGTCTTCTCTCACAGAACACCCTGCCTTGCTCGGGCTTCTTAAAGTGTTGCGCCCATGTCGGGCCTATCTGAAGTGGGAAGGGTCTGACAACGGGGGGAAGGCAGCCATGAAATGCTCGAAACCTGTCGTACTGCGCCTCCGCTCGTCAACATATGTTGGGTGTGGAAGAAGAAAAGGACACCTGTCTTTGATGGCTGTATTCTGAATCTAGAAACACCTTCAAAAACCTTCCATTTACTTAAGTTCCCTTGGACAAACAAATGATAAATGTACAGTCTTGACAAATTCTGCTTAAAAATACACTGGCCACACAAAAGTTGCGCTTCTTGAAGGTCAGAGCGATTACGACCCTCTCCCCCTAGAATCCTTCAGGAAGCTACGAGGGCATGCGTGGTCAATTTTGGACCCGGGAAACGTATTACAATTTTAAATTTAACTGGCGTGATAATTGACTGTCCCATGCCTGCCACACACACATGCACTTGTTAATTTTCAAGACAGCCAGGCAGCATCAACTCTTCTCAAACTGAAGTATAAAAGGTATTCTCAAGCAATGGAAGAAACCGGAAGGCTGGGTTGAATCAGGCTGGAAGAGGAAGAATGGGTTGGCTTCTTCTAGTAGCAAGGAACCTGGAACTGTTGGAGAAACTTGCCGAGGAGCCCCCGATCGGGTGGAAACGGGACGGCCTGCGGCTGGAAGTTGTTGAAGGATAGGTCCAGATGCTGCAAGGTTTCCAGTCGCTGGAAGACCTGATCTTCCGGGCCAAACGGAAAATGGGTGGCGGGCATGGGACAGAAGGCCCGAAGTGCTCACGTTAGAAACCCAAAAGAAGGCCAAAAAGGACTTCAGGAACATCTAAAAGAGGGAACGAATAGGTGGAATAGGGACTTGGGGTGGAGGGGGTTCGGGTGGAATTGGGTTGAGTGAAGTGGATAAGTGTCAACCCCGCTCAGCGGTGTCTCGAATGCACAAGTCACTCGATTTGATACCCTCCAGGGTCCAAGGGCAAAGTCTGTCCCTGGATCTTCCAAGATCCCACGTTCGGTGGGTCCAACATGGCAAACATCTCAGTTGACTTCGTCTAGCTGAGAGTACACAATGCAAAAAGCCAACTGGCTAGGTGACCATCCGGCAACTCATGTAGTTGTCAGCACAATTTAGACTTTGAACTCGGCCAGGGAGTTCAGGAACTCTCGGCGCAAACTGAAAATAAGGAATCCCGCAAGTCGAGAACTTTCCCAGGTGAGGTTGAAAGCTATCTGGGATTCGAAGAGGCCTCTCCCGCAACCAAAAGCAGTTTTGCTCATGGAACCCAACAGGGGTTCCCATGATTCGAGCTGGGCCCAGTTATAGAATGTATATTTTATCGTTTGCTTCAACTTGAGTCACTGGAAAAATGTAAAAAACAATGAGTCCTACATCTACCCCAGTTCCCTTTTACCGCATAGTCTTCCAAGGCCAATCCCACTCTCACTGGATAAACCACTTGCGCCGGGGAGCCCAAGAGCTCGAAACACCTGGCTCTGTCTGAGTTGGCTCCTGGGTTTTGTGGTTTTACAGGGAAACCAAATCAAAGCCATTTTGGGTGTTGGTCCCTTAAAAACCGCCACCCCCCCCGACATGTTAAAAGGGGAATCTCCAAAACGGGGCTTGGCGCCGAGCGTGATGCGCTGAGCAAATGGCCAGCGAAACTCCGGACCCGCAGTTGAGCGCGGGATTTGGGGGTTGATCAACATTTCAGAATGGGGGGAAACCCAAAGGAATCCGCAATTTTTCTAGGGGTGCCTTCCCCATTCTTTCCAGGCATCCTTCTTTCTAGAAAACCTCCGGAAACCCAGGGAACACGTCTGGTTATTGAAAAGAACGATGGTTGAAAAGAGTGGGGAATCAACCCCTAGAATGTTGGACAATTTATGCCCAATCATTTGGGACTCGTCCACCAAAAAAATGAGAAATCACAATATTATAGGGGTTGATCAACATCCCCTTCAGGGCCCCTGTTTTGAGCATGGGTGACTTTTGCCACGTGGTTGAAATATCTATCATATTTTTAGTGGTTTGCCAACCAATGGTCATCCCATGTAAAGGACTTTTTGATCAACCCCCATTTGTTCTTTACCGACCTTGCTCGGTTTCCGTTTGAAGTTGGACAGGGGTTGTTTGCATCGGTGTCCTTTTAGGGTAAATAGATGGCTCTGGCGCGGCTCTGGTAGATGATTAAACCACCAGGTAAACCAGGAATCACCCTCTATTTTTCGAGCAAAACAACCAAAAAGGACACTTACTGCGGATGGACGAAATCCTGCAACACTTAAAAACCAGGACAAACCATTGTTTGTTGATATTTGCAAGGTTCCAGAGTTTCTTAGGTGGTGGTGGTGCGAAATACATTTCATCCATCCCAGTATGGTCGATTGTTTCAACCGGATACAACCGACGCGAACACCTGAGCAGCAGACGGAAGACAATTCCTCCGCAACCGCCTTGCTCTGAGAGCCCTGCGCAGTGGTCAGGGCTCGTCCGGGCTACCGCCCTCCGTCCAACACGGACCCCTGTTGGGTTATGCATGTATGTATGTCTGTCGGTCTGTCTGTCTCTCTGTATGCATGTATGTATGCATGTATGTTTTTTTAGAGATTGTTAATATATTATGTGCTTTTTGACGCTCGGCAAGCTGGTTTGAAGGGAGGCGAAAAGAAAAACCCAACATTGAGATTGCGTTAGGAAGCTTTGTACACATGCCCTCAGTTCACCAGCGACCCAAAAAGGTAGAGGACCACCCATGTGCTTGCCATAAAGCCCCACTAAATGCAGTACACTACAAGGGTCCCCTTGTTGCCACTTGGGAACATGTAGGGCATCCACCACACTGAACAACTGCTTTAGGGAAGGGAGGGGGTGGGTTGGAGTCCCCTTGCTCCTCTGACAGCTTTTTTTTTTTTTTTTAAGGGGCACCGCGCTGAACAACTGGCGACAGGAGAATTGTCCAAACCATCTCGGACATGGCATGTCACAAGGAAATGGCCGGCCATGCCGCTTTTTGGGACCCGTTTGGGTGTCATGCTGGGCCGGCTGACTCCCACGCAGGAACCACAAAAGTACTATGTGTGAGGATGGGGGACCCCATGTTCAGCTTCCATGTTGATTCGCAGGGGGGGGGTACAAAGAGATCCATAAATCTGTCGCCATGCTGTCGACCACATAAGCACCTTGGCCCTCCCAATCTATGAGGGAGACATGGCTATATGGCTCAGGCACCGGCCAAGGGAAAAAGGAAGCAGTCAAGAGCATAGCGGACCTCTTGAAAAAATAGATGGCCCTGGTAAATGGAACAAAAACAAATCTAAACCAGTGTCTTCTGTTTTTAACCACACTAGACACCTATGGTCAAGAGTCAACTTCCCAACTGAGCCAAAACCCAACAGTTTGTTGCTTCCGCGGCAAGTTCCATATCGCTCAGAGTTGCGCAACCGCTGGGTTGCAGAAGAAAACTCATTCTGGTATCCCCCCCTACCTTAAGGGTGAGGGCCGGGGGGGTCCCCCAATTCCATTTATCTAGTCTGCTTTATAGGGGAAATGGGTTACCATAATGGGATCTCCAGAAGTCGTTTTCTCCCTACCCCATCTCCAACTTTAAGGGGTGAGAATTTCCTCACTTTCTGAGTGGACCCGTCCCGGATGTATATTGCGAACCAAACCGCAATGGTCATTTTGTGTTTTGAAGGCTAGCAAGCCCTTGGATATCTACTCTGGGCTGTACAAAACACTCGGGCAAGGCCTCCGCGAGGAACCTTCGTCATGACATGTTGCTGGAGTTTCTGGGTGTGTTTTTGAGTTTACCCTTTTCAGCCTGGATTGAAAGGACACCAACAGGAAAGCCATCAAATCATTGGCCCGACTGCTTCTTCACTGAGCTGTCCTCAGATCCCCCGATAAAAGCTTAACTTTTAGTGGGTGAAATGGAAACTACCACTAAACACTCAAAGGCTAAAAAGCAAAGGCACCGGATGGCAGGGAGCCACCAGTTCACCAGGCGGAGTCCCTGGTACATGGGAAACAGGCTCCTCCCTTCCGCATCCCAGAGCCTTGCCCAGGCAGTTCCAGCTCACGTCCAGGCACCGTAACCTGGCGAAGCACATTGACTAGGTCCTCCAGTAGAGAGGTTAGAATAAGGGTACCAACTTTTTTCTGTAGTCTATTTTGGCAGGGGAACCCTCCCCCCAAAAAAAGGGTGAGAAAGGGCACCTAGCTGGGGGACCTAGTTGTGGGCTCAAACGTCTGTCTTTGCAAGCTTCGACTTGAAGTTAGGGCAACATTTGGAGACATGGCCTTGACGATCCAGAAAAGACAAAAAAACACATGTGAAACATGTGACGCCTGCAACGAGTGATATGTTGACCGAAAAGATGGCTTGCCTGTATCTGGAACCCCAAACTGGGCTGTCCGATCTCTGATCCCCTGCAAAACGCCACCAACTTTTGGTGGATTAGAATTGGAAACATTTAATGGAACAAACAACAACCACTATTGGACTCTTCCTGACGTGCGTCTTGGATTCGCTTCTCCGATGCAAACCCGGACAGTATTTGAGCCCCAACAAGGGTTGTCATGTATTGGGGAAACAATCACATTCCAACAAAATAAATTAAGAAGCTGACTTACAGTCATGTTCCACAAAAGCAACAAACTGACTAAAGGTCGAACCAAAGACCAATCAAGACATTGCATTATTTATTTTGTAGCTATGGCAAGCTTGGAAAGCTGCAGCACCTTTGCATTTTTTAAAACTGACCGGAGTTGACTGGCCTGCCTGCAGCGACTTTGTTTAGATCTCAGGAGAGCCACATGAACGGCCCAAGTACGATTCGTAGTGGACTTGAGGCCCTAAGATGCCGGTAGTTCTCCACAGCCTCTATGATTGAAAAGAGGATGAGCAAGGTTCGGAAGAAGCAAAAAAACAATCCATATCAAGCCCTGTCGTTCACGCGCATGGACCCAGTGGGCATGCCCAAAAGCAGTCCATTTCCAGGTGGTTTCACCAAAAGGCACTCAAAGAAACATGAGCCGGGTTACCTAGCACCCATCCCTATCAACAGCAGCCAGCTCCAGCTCTATGGTGCATCCAAAGGCAGGCCGAAGACCTATTTGCACTGTTCTGCAAATCAATTCAACCATCAGCCAAAACACTGATCCAGAATTGATCCAAACAAAGGCCCTCTGAATGATCCAGAAACCATCAGCCAAAACAAGAGTTGCATGTTCCGTATGCAACTCTTCAGAAATCGAGGCGTCATTGTAGGGAACGTGACAAAAACACTTTCGCAAAGTACCCCGAAATGAAAGGTTACGTAATCTTTTACAGCCCAACAAACATTGGCAACAACCAACGTCAAAAAAAAGCAACACCTATTGAGGTTGAAGGCTTGGACACCAAACAGAGGTCCAAGATACCCCACTACATCCCAAGCGTTTCGCGACTACAGGCAAACCAACCCGCACTTCTTCATTTGGCTGTTAAAAAGGCTGGTTCAAGTCCTTGGTTACCTACAAAACCAGGCAAAGCGCTAGTGCTAACACGTTGTAGTGGCTTGCAAGCCGAACAAAAAGGAACTCGTGACGCCCAATGTACACATTGAAACCTTGAATCCATAAGCTACCTGGATGAAGATTCATAGAGTTCTGGGAATGTTGGATCTTGAATCTTGGATGCAAAAGTGCTTTATATAAAGCGCTTTACAGCGTTTTGGGGGCCCCATGCTGGGCTCAAGATTCAAGAACCATACTCCTGCAAATCTTGAATGTTGGCTCCAGCCTGGAAGAGGCCAGGCTCTTGAGGAGTTCCACCGCCCCTAGTGGAAGCAGAACGAGGCAGCCAGAGGCTCCGCGCCTTTGGCTTTTGGGGTTAAAATGGGTTCGCAGGGCTCGAAGCACCTTAGAAGGCTGAGCAATGCATCTTTGGGTCAGCAAACATCAGGAAAAACATCCTCTGTTCAAGAGGCAGCGCAAGCATGCCCCCCCAGCTTCCGAGGTCATGTGATTGCTGTCAGACAGTGAAGAAAGGCAGCCGCCCGACCGCAAACTGCCCGCTGCAGCTGCAGGTGACCGGACGTGCCTGATCTCAAAAACACGCGAATCAGAAGGAAGATGTTGGCCTACCTGAAAATATGTCCCAAAGCTTCAAGCATTTGAGCCTCCGTGTGGTTGTCAGGTCAGAAACCCGAAAGAGGGGTCACTGGAGTTCACCAAATCAAAAGTTGCAACTGACTGGTGGTTTCCATTGAAACTGCAACTTTTGGAGATGTTCTAACAAGGGAAATGGAGGTTCCCCTGCTAAAAAAAGAAAGTCTCTGGAAGAATTCATGGGAAATAGGTGTTTGTTGTTTTGTGGGGACCCTTGTTGGGGTGAAAAAGCGGGAAACCAAATAGGAAACCCAAACCACATTTTGTTTGGGCCCGCTTTGAGGCACACCCAAATATGCACACCTTGCACCCTTCCATTTCCCTCGCACGTCTGGTTCCTTCCACATTTTCCAAAAAGCCAAAAGCCAAAAAGGGCCTCGCCCCGAAGACGTCGGTTTCCGGGGGGAGTTCACATTTTGTAAGCTTGAAGGTGAACTTCCCCCACATTTTTGGAAGTTTGAATGAGAACCTTCACATTTTTGGACACCACGGGAACACACCCAGTTTGAAGGTTCTCATTTCACACCCGACCCTCTCAGGCATGCCTTGCCCGTGGAGCGTGTTGAAGCTGACCTGGCGCAAACAAAAATGCCCCGCGAGGCGAGTTCTCTTTCTTTGGGGGCATGTAAAACGTTACAACCCAACAGTATGGCTTGGCAGATCACAACTTGTCGTTTTTGTTGCAGCCTGCGAAACATGAACAGGACCAACGAAAAACGAAAAACCTGCAAACACAGGCCAACAACCGTGAAGAAAAAAGCAAGGTTCCTTGGGGCCCGAAACTATGCCTGGAATGTGCTAAAATAGGTTGCACTTGCATCCGAGTTAAGGAGGCTTTGGATTTTCTTGTGCCTAATGCTGCTGCAGGTGCCCAATCGATTTGCTGCATCGCTCTTAACATCTCAAATGTCTCGTTGACATGGACCAAATGCTTGTTCCCCAAATGTCGGACATGGAGCCGAATAAGTCTTTGGCTGCGACACCTAAGGCTCTGGATGCCCATTTGTACATGCCTGGCCGAAGGCACGCAGCATCACTCGAACTAAGCTCCAATTTCCCGCGACTAGACCGACATGTTGCCCATGGGCTGTCCAAAAAAAAAAAAACATCCCAAGAGCAGTTGGGTACGACATCGTCTGATTCACAGGCAAAGATGTAAGATGCAAAGCAAACTGTTGACCCATCAAAAATCGCCAAAACTCGCCCCGGCAAAGGCCGAAAAACCTTTTGGCGCCAGGCCGAAACGGGGAGTCTTTGCGGAGGTTTCAGGGTCTCGATGAAATGGGCTGCGCTATGGACGATGAAATGGAGTTTGGGTGCGCGTTTTTCAGGATTCAAGATGAGAACCTGCATGTGTGATCCAAATCCAGCCAACAAATCTGGGGCAATGTTAGCAAGCAGCATCGGCAAGTACTTCTCTCCAACAATGGGAGAAGCTGACAGGAAAGTGTTGAACGACTACTTTCTGGGCCCATTGTTTCACAATGATCAAAGTCAGAAGCTGTAGATTTCAGGCAAACAACCGCTTCCGTTTTCTGACTTCGATACCCCCCAGACAGAGTCAAAGCAATGACCCCAGACTTTCCTTTGGGGAAGCCCCCAGTTCACTTCCCTAACACTCAGACACTGGCTACTGACCAACTGGTAGTCTACGGGTTTGCCATGCTCTTTTTTGTTGGGTGGAACCCCTTTTGGTTGGTGTTCCTTGGAAATCAAACGAAGCACATGGTTGGAGCCCGTTTTTGGGCGACTTTCCGTCAGGAGATCGACCCAAAAACCTGAGACCAAGTCAGAAACGATAGCGAGCCATGGGTTTCCCCCGGTGGCTCGTCTTTTTTGAGGGTACCCCTTTTCTTTTCGGGTAACGGAAAACCAAAAAGCAATCCAGAATGATTGGGTCTTATTCCTAAAAAAGAAGAAGACAAGGTCTCATGTGGTGACCCTTTTATTGTCCAGCATCTTTGTCACAGGGTAAAGCATCCAGATGCCCAGTGGATTTCCATGGCAAAAAAGGGCACCCTTTTGTGGTTGGTTGACTTAAAATCGGAACCCTTCCAAACACAAAGGAGAAACAAGGGCGGAATCCATTGGGTAACTGGAAACAGTAAGAGGTACAAGTTCAAAGCCTTCTGGCCTTTTGAGTCCGCCATAGACTTCTTTCCCAACTTGGGTGACAAAAACCGAAAGCTGTGGAGCAGTCTACTGGGCCTAAGCCCAAAAATGCGGCGTTGCAACATGCTAAAATCCTGTTTTGGCTGGCCAGAACAAATAGAAGCTCATCTCACTTCCTGAGTGGATTGGACAAAAATAACATGAACTTGTTATTTACCACTGAAACGGTGTTCCCCAAAAATACAATGTGCAGGACCTCAGGAAGTGCGCATGATTTGTGTTTTGTTTTTCCCGGGTCTTGGCTAAACTGACACCTGGGCACCTCGCAACCTCTGATTTGAATCATGTCCGTGTGCCGAAAAAAACACCTGAGCCAAGCTTGGACATGCCTCTACCAGGGAAACAAAGCAGCAAGAGCCCGGACCGCTTTCAGGCAGTGGAGAGGATGCCATTTTTTCCACATCACCACCCTTTAGAAACCCTATAATGATGTGATTCCCCCCTGTAAAATACCAAGAAACAATGGTTTCAAAGTGGTGCGCAAGGAGTGCGTCCATCCACAGTAATTCCAAAACCTGTCTTGAGAAGCTTCGTGTTCCCAATGCTCCTTGCTCGGTTGTAGGACTTCTTCCCAGGGAGCGGAAAACTGACTCGACACGCACGAAGAGATACTTAAGGCACTGGAACTGCATCTTGGCAAGATTGTTCTTGAGCTTCTGCTTAAGGCACTCTGCCCTTTCAGCGCCCTTGAAGTCCATTGTCTCCTGGGCTTTCAACTTGTTCTCGCCTTCCTCAAGAACAGCACGCCGTGTCACCAGCTAATCAAAGGCCCTTGGATTCTTCATAAAGGTTGCGAAAATCCAAACCATTCCAAACCTGATTCATCCAGAGGTGGAACAACCTAGACTTCAGCTACGAAACAGGCGCCCTACTTCGCTTTTCAATTTGAGGTATGTGAGCAGCATCTCCGGCGCAGGCCGCACTGGACATTTTGCGACGCAGGCCGCACTCGCCTAGCGACTTGTCTCTGGAGAGCTTCGTTAGGGGCGGCTTCGCTTCGAAGGGTCGCCTTCGTCTTGCAGGGTGGCCCTCCACCCGAAGACATTTCTTGAGGCGGAGTTTGGGGATCCCTCGAATTGGCTTGGTGAATTCCCAATCGCCCTGTGCAAGAACCAGGGCTTCAGATCCCCAAACCACCACTCCAAACCGCCAATTGACTGTGTCCTTTGTCGAAGATTCCCCCAAACTGATTGCGGTCTTCCTCCTGGTTTCCCTTGAAAAACCACCAACAATCTAGGGGTACCTTCCATTTCCATTCTTTCCAGGCATCCTTCTTTCTGAAAAACCAGCTCAAACCCTGGGGAAACAGATGGTTGTTGAAAAGAACGATGGTTGCAAAGAATGGACAAGGAACCAACCCCCAGAAACAAGGGAGTACCATGGGTGTGGCTCAAAATTAAAGAGCTAAAATTACGCGGTATTTGTCTTTGTTTCCATTTACCAGGGTTCCATTTTGGGTACCCATTTTTGACCCACAGCCAACTCACAAAACGACGAGTCGCCCAAGGGGTTACTGAACACATGCCGCGGCCCACGTCCAGAAAGCGCAGCTTCCGCATGCCCTCGGCTCGGTCTCGACCGAGGGGCTTGGTGGCCCTTCAAGGGAACACGCAAGGAGGTTCTAATCATCTAATCCGTCACCCCCGTCCACTGCTGAAGGTTCTTCAATCATTGCAACCAAAAGGTGATGTTTCAACTAGGCGCTGATTTATGAACAGATTGGGCGTGTTGCTTATCATTTCGTGTGCATGTAGTGCTTGTGCTAGTGCCTGCCTGGCCAACTGGTTGAATTGTCCAATTGGTATGATTGATATTTTCAGCAGACTTGTAGTTGTGATTTGCCATTCGCCTCGATGCGAGTTGTCTGACAAGCAGCCAGCTGCTCAAAATCACTGGTCCGAGCAAGACATGGTTGAGTATTTGAGTACTCTAAGGGGAGAGTGATAGTCTATGTTCATTCTAAATAACACGTAGAGTTTGCTCCACTGCAACTGTATCTGGGAGTGTTTCTGTCTTTGAGGGTACCTTTTCGCTCACGTTGCCATGGCACCGGGAATTGGCCCATTGAGGAAAAGCGGTGCTGTTGGGAGGAAGGAAAAGTAAGCCCAGCACCCCCAACCGCTTTTGGACTTGGGATCTTGGACATGGAAACGCAGCTGCGGGGTGACGGGGTGCCAAATCCGCCATATCAATGCTAAAACAAGTGGCTGCAACCCCTAGTCCATGGCATATTTGCAGAGGGCTATGTTTGCAGCCCCCCACGAAAATTGGGCAGAACCAAGACATACTTTTTTACACATGCAAAGAACAGCGACATGGTGAAGCTCAGATGCCTGGGATTCAGTGCATGCCACGACCCAACTAAAACGCCCTTTTCTTGGCTCAGGAGGATGGTCCGGCGATGGGAAACTGAGATCCATTTCCTTGAGCCTGAGATCTTGAAGATCACAAGGTCGACTGGGCGTGTCTCTCAAGGGGCCACCCCAACTTAGGGCGGTGTTCCTATGTTGTTTCTTCAAAAGCCCGCCAAAGGAGCATCCTCACACAAAAGATGAGCCCCCACGAAAGAGCTGCCTCACTGAAGGTGTTTTCACCCCCCCTGAATCCGGGTTCCTGCACGAGGCTGCTTCATTCAAAGGCAATAGTTCACGTGACTCTTTGAGCCACCAGCATCCAACTGACAGGAGACAAGGTCGAGATTTACTGATCTCAGTTGCCCAAAGGACCCAGAAATAAAAGGGACTATGTAAACATGGATCAAAATAGGAAAACCAAAAGGTCAAGAGGTCGGCTTTCACCAAGTGAGTGATACAGTGTTTTTCTACTGGACGCACGCTTAGAGTCCCGATGTTGTTATCTTTGAATCAGGAATTAAAAAAGGGTCTCCCATGTTCCGGGGGACCATAGACTCACATTTTTCAGGCGAATCTGTTTTTTTTTTTCACAATGCGGCTCGAGCCTCGGTCTCGGCCAAGATTCTGCACAAGTTACTGAACTTCCAAGGCGTGTCTTCTTTCAGGGGAACCTCCTTTTGGCTAAGGGAAACCAAGACAAAACCAATAATTGTCGAGATTCCTCAATTTTGACACGAAATTTTGGTTGGTCTCACAGGGGAACCCCACATGGCCGGGTTCCTCGGTTCCCCCCCAAAAAAAAAAACACGGCCGGGTTCCTCGGTTTCCCTTTAAAACATCCCCACAAATTGGGCACCCTAGCTTAAAAACATGCGGCGACTCCCCAAAAAGGGCACGGCCTATCCACGGCTTTTGCCAGAAGCTCTTCATATTAGCATCGAACTTGAGTCAGTTGAATGCTGGCAATTTGTAAAAGGGACCAATCGGACTTTGATAACCATGAACTTGTCTTTTGCCCCCTTCAACAAGCTTTACTTTCTTGCTTGGCAGGGAAACTGTCCCTTTCCAAGAATCAATCAGAAATTTCCCCAGACCTCAAAAGGTGGATTTGCGGCAATAGTACCTTCTGTTTACTATGGCTGCGACGCCACCATTGCTCAAACAACCTCCTTTGGGGTTGAAACAATTGAGAGCTGTGGGGATTCTTGGTTTCTCCTGCTTCAGGGGTCACTGGAGTTTCCCTTAAACAAAGATGAATTTGCTGGTGGTGTCCATTAAAGCTGCAACTCTTGGAGGTTCCGGGAAATTGAGGGAACCCGGTTAAAGACACGGTGGATGGACCACCTTTGAAACCCTGGAAGTATGACCCCCCTGCAAATACCAATAGTTTCCCCTGGTTTGAACGGGCTGCGAACGGACTTCGCGTCCATCCACAGTATTTTCAAACATGCCCATGTTGATTTTGCTTCCCTCTTGTGGATGGCCCAACCAAAAGTCCCATTTTCATGATTATAGTTAGGCCCAGTTGTAGAATGTATATCTTGGTGTTTGCTTCACTTTGAGTCACTGGTAAAATGTAAAATGTATCCTAAGTCTACCCCAGACTTCTTTATTTACCACTCCAAAGTGTCCTTAAACCCAAAACACCCCAGTTGAGTTTGCTATTTGCCGCTCAAATGGTCCTTAAACCCAAACAGGTCGGAACTTCGGCTCCTCCCCTTTGGGCCGAAGGGCCACGAGGCTCCCCAGCGCTTGTCCGCTCGCGGCTCGGCCCATCTGCACGTCCTGGGCGACGTGGGGGCAGGCGTCGAGGGTGCCGACTGGCGGTACTGAGGCCCTATAAAAAGCAGAGGCCCAACCAATAAACCTTGCTGGTGATTTGTGGAGCAGATCACAAAGGGAGAGTATAGTGTCCGTTAGACACCAACAGCCTCTTGCTGGTGCTCAGTAGGGAATAAGACATGGAATGAACCTGAGATACACCATCCATCCTATGGTTGCCTTTAAGGGCATCCCCAGGTTCATTCCATTTCTCATTCCCCACCTATCGCAGCAAGAAACCTGCTAGAACACCCAAAAGCCGGGCGGCCTGCCGCCTCTTTGGAGCTAGGCCAAAGAAAGCGAAACCGCCAGGTGGCCTTCTGGAGACGCATCGAGTTCCCCGGCAAATGGATGGCAATCCGAACCTGTGGCTCGCCCGTCTATTTCTATCCAATCCGATCAAAAGGAGACCTGTGCCCTCTTTTGGGGTGTGTCTCAAAACGAGCCCTCCAAATTGGCTCGGGTTTCCAACTTGGGTCTCGCAAAGAAAGCGCCCAGAAAAGGTACCGACAAAACCGGTAACCGAGACACGTGATGTTACGAGTAGGGGAACATGGGGAGCCCTGATTTGTTCGCCGCAATTTACAAACACATTTTTTGTGGTTGGATGCGGTTGGTCTTGCAAAACTCGCATCCAGCGAACCCAGATCTGCACAAGAAATCCTCAAGACCTTCATGAGTGAGCTTGTCAAATGACAGCGCTCTTGCTCGCTGCAAGTGGCAGTGTGCGGCAAAATAGTTCTCTACAGGTTGATATATTTAGCCTTAGGCAAATCCCCAGTAAACAAACAAAACGGCTGATACGGGTTTTGGGGATCACAAAAGGAGAGAATAAGGACTGAAAGGTATCGGGGCCAAATCTCCTTCAACCATGCCCTGGCCAGCAAGAAGGAACGATAAATTGGTGGCTACTCCATGGTTTATAATAACTATTGGGCGGCCAGCGGCTTTGGCGCCAACCTTTTGGTTGGGCCAGCGCCCAAACATGGATGGTGGGCTCGTCTACCCTCTAATACCCACTTTTTCTAGGCTATTCTTTGCAAAACCGATCGGTTTTTCAAGGTAAATACCTCCTTGTATAGTAGAGGGTCCACATGATACCCTTAAACAAAAGTGGGTATTTGGAGCCGGGGGTACTTTGCGGATCTCTCAAAAAACAATCGGGTGGTCCCCCAATTTTTCAGCCCCAAAGCTGGGCAAAGCTCCGACTTCTGGGGCCCCACACCGCCAAGCTCAGGCGGTCCAGGAAGGGGCAGTGCAACTGGAGGTGTAGGCAGAGCTGGGACACCTGGAGCGATCCCCGAGACTCGCTCGGATTTTTTTGGGAAACAAAACCTAAAATGGAGGTCGGTGGTCCTGTTTGGTCTTCCCTGAAAACCAGAAAAAAGGGGAACCCTCAAAGAAGACATCTTCCAAGTAATGGTGTGCACAGCAAAAACCGCATTCTGACTCTGTTCCATGATAGAAAAAGGGCATCCTTTGTAGGTTGGTCGACTTTAAAGGCGGCCCTTTCCACAACACAGAAAATAACTGGGCAACTGGGATTTGGTTACAAGCACTTGTTGGTTTTCCGTTTAGACACCATATGGGGCGAATAGCACCAACTCATGTGCGGGTTCCACATGATATCTAACTCCTAGACGGGTACAAAATAAAACGCGAGTGCCAGCGAATGAAGCTCCATTTGAGTCATAATCAAAACCCGGTGTCAAAATGGTCTACCCAGAACCATGCTTCAAGAATTAAGAAGGCGGCCGCAGCTATTTCTGGCTGGGACTGTCCCTTACTAACCTTCATCTACCCGGGTTTTTATTGTGGCTGGCGGTAGCGGCGCTGTCTATCCTCCAGGGCATTGCCTGGGAGTCACGGAGTGAACCCTAAAAGCGAAAGTAGGGCCACGAGGAAGCCGACCTGCGAGGAAAGTTCAGCGACCCTTGCCTCGCAGGCCGCAGGCGTAATAAGTTCAGAATATTGCACTTTGCACGGGGGCATCCGGCGAAGCCTGCCGAGCCTTGTCCAGGGGACCGTGAATCCACAAAGCGCGCATCGCGGCTCGGTAGGATCCCAATCTGCGCAATAACAATGGGAAAGCCCGGGGGCTCCAGCCAGGCGACTAGCCCACCCCGTCATAAGATGTTTCCTTCTACCTATACAAAACCGAAGTCTGCGCACGGAGGAGTTGCCGAGAGCGTCACGCAGTTGCTCAGCGTCCAACCCCGACAAGAAGCCGAGAGGCACTTTCTCAATGAGAAATTCTCTCAAGAGAGCCTTGCAGGCAGCAATACGCTCCGGTACCGAAGTCAGAGCATCAAAGTCGATGCAGGGGCGGTCAGGGTCCTGGTTCAAGCCAGGCAAAACAGGACCCGCTTTCTTGTCATTCAGACGTGACCGAACCACCAGAGAGGCAAAATGCGGCGAATACCTCCAACAAGTGATAGACGTCCCAACTTGATCCATAGTAACGTACAGCTTGCGCAGCGGTTTACCCAACATAAGGTATTCCTCATTCAAGTTGACAAGAACTTTCAGTCCAATATTGATGCCGTCGTGCCGTGGAAGAAGCAGCCCCAAGGGCATCGTCGGCAGCGGAGGCCAAGATTGACACAGCTCTAACATGTCCGGCTCGGTTTCAGCATCAATTGGGATCCCTTGCATTTTGAGAATACCCATACACAACATACGGATCTTCCACTGGGCCTCGCGAGCAGTCTTGATCTTACGCAGGAAGGGCGCTTTGTCCCCAGCTATAAAGATGAAGAGCAGCAAGGCCTCAATCCAAGTATGCCTCCTCGAGAGGGCTTCGGCTTTGCTTTTGTCAAATATGCACCAGTCAAGCATACCACGAAGAAGGTGGAAGTCTTCAATACAGCCACCCCAATACCATAAGTTGGCTTTGACCGCCATCAAGTCAGGGTTGATAGTCAAGAAGTGTCCCCTCTTAAATACAAAGTGGCTCTGGAAGGGGGAGCTGAGCAAATAGATATCTTCCGAATGAGCGTGCTGTCCATCAGCACGATCAGATTGAACTGGAGCGTGATCAAGCTGAGTATTATTGTAATCAATTGCACGGAGATCGCGGTGACGGGCTTCCCACTTACCAAGGAGGTCAACCGCCTGTTTTTGAATAGTACCCCATTTAGCCTGGAGCCTAGGGGGGAGGTCTTTGCAGAACACAAGAAGGTGTTGAGAGCAGGGGCTCCACTGAGACCAAGATTCCCAACCTTCTTCCCACTGACTGCGCAGGTCAGCCCAAAAGGGGCATTCCCAAAACAGGTGCGCCATGGTAGCGTCATGGTGTCTACATTCTCTGCACTCTGCAGTATCAGTGAACTTCTTGACAAATTGCGTGTGGAAGGAGTTAATCCCGCAGCACTCGAATGAGCTTCTGTTGCACCGGGTGCCCTTCAGGTAATAAGTGAAGAAGTGCAGTGGTCGTGCCGAAATCGTGGTTGCCGACTCCCTTCCAAACAGAGGAGTTGCAATGTTCTAACTCAGAGGCAATCTTGTTACGGAAGGAATGACAAAGAGCTTTGCTCATCACTCTGCAATCGCCACTACCAAAGGTCCAGAGCAGCCTACCTTCATTGTTGCTAACTTGCAAGCTGTCAACGTTCAAATGAAGCTGCAAATACTCCATATCTTTTTTCAGCTGAGAAACAGGGCCAATCTTTTTGATAGAAGGTTGAACCTTCTCCCAAGTCTGAATCACAGCATCCTTGAAGGCGCGCTTTTTGAAGGCGTGATTGTTCCAGAAGAGCAAGTTTCTCCAAACAAAGGAAAACTCAGGGTCCATAAGCAAGTAGTTTTTCTGAAACAGAATTCTGGCCGAAAAGGTCCCAAGCTTACTCCCATGTGCCGCAGTACGAATAGCTGTGCGAAGCTGCCTGAGCTGCTCCTTGGACGGTCTCAGCGTAGTGCCAGCATATGTAAGCATAGGGATAATGACCGTATGGACAATCATGTTGGTTGTGGCCGCAAGTTGGTTGGCTCTCGCAAGTAGTTGTAGCGCGGTAATAGCTCTGTGTATTTTCTTCTCAAACCAAGTCTTAGAAAAAAAGAGCCCAATAGCAAGGGGAATTCCAAGATAATCGACCGATTTGACTTCATTGACAACTTGCCCATCCCGCAAACATAGCGGTGTGGACTTCCTCACATCTCTGATTTGACACGTCTTGACTTGCGTGCGGAAATTGCGTTGCGTATCCCAAGATTCGGTGCGTCCAAAGGCATGCTGAAGTTCACTCGAGTCACTTTCCGTGAAAAGAAGCCTATCATCCGCATACACAGAATTGTACACAGCGCTGTTGAGATCTCTTGACCAAACCGCCAACACAAGGCTAGCAGCAGCCATACTGACAGGGTCACCCTGAGGCAACCCGATCGTCCCAAGAACAGGTCGCCTGGCCACAATCCCGGAGGTGGAAACAAATCTCCTCATGTGCCTGATGGAGTGTATCCAAGCGCCAACTGCCGACTGATGCATACCCCATTCGGTTAAGGCTTGACAAGCTAGCCAAGTGGGATACAATCGAAGAACTTGACAGTATCAATTGCCACACCATGGAATGAGAGGTGCGTCTCATTCTGGCATTTCTCAGCCGACAAAGAGGCGTGCAACCATGCTTGATACCCACTGCGTCGAGGTACACCCCCAATGATGTTCTCAGGGAGGTTGTCGAAGGAGATTTCTCCGCATTTCAATAGCCACTTGTGGAAGATGCGTAGTGCCGTAACTTCAATAGTGATGGGCCTCATGGCTTCAAGATCAAAACCAGCGTCACCTTTTGGGATAACCACAAGTTTAGCATTAAGCCAATGCTTGGGAGCCCTTCCACAAATAACGCAAAGCATAAAGAGACTGTGGAGAAAATCCACGCCCTTCTGCGGCAGCTTTTTGAAGTGCGCATAAGTCCATCCACCTAGCCCCGGCGAGGAAACGCCTTTCCCGTTCCTGAGGATCCGATTAAGGAGTTTGACATTCCACATATCTGCAGGGACCTCGTGGTTGGCGTTGCCCACATCCCAGGACATTTGATCATCATGTTGGTAGACTGTAGCAAAGAAGTCCCGAATGACGTCCACCGTCTCTTGAGGAGTCTTGGTCCAACCATCATTTGTTTTGGGGCCCTGACCCATTTGCAAACGTCTCCAATCCACTTGCTCTTCTGCGATTTGTCACAAGGCTGCTGCATTCTCTGCTTCCAAGCTTGTAGTTTATCAAGTGAGGGTTGACCCAGCTCGAGTAGAGCTTCCCGAATCTCTTCATGCTCCTGTGCCTCACTGGATTGTGCAATGAGCTTCCTGTGAAATATCGCTTGCTGTTGGTTTTCCCAATGCATTTTAACTCCCAAACCAGGCACTCTCTTGAAGTCAGTGTGACCGTTCCAGAAACGAAACATAGTGGAGGCGAAGATGGACCAACACATATCCACATCAAACTTTTCATAAGCCGTGCACCATTCATCTTGCAACTCATCCCACCCTTCAACATGATTGCCACACTGCTTGTCAATGTGATATCCTTCCACCTGCAAATATTGATGCACCTCAGCATTCCAATTGAGCTTGGTCGAAATGATGGCATGCCCATTGTCGTAGGGGAAGAGCGTGATTGGAGGACAGAACTCCATTCGAACATCTTTATGACAGAGAATGTCATCAATCTTTGTTTTGGATTGAGCTCTCTGAAACGTAAAAGCATCGGGACCAAGCATGTCCGTCAATTTGGAATACAAGTCCACGAAGAGGATGTCCATGTCCGACCCCCACTGCAAGGGACTGTTGAAGTCTCCAGCAATGGAGTGAGGTTGGACCTCTTGTGCATCTGCCGCAAGATCGCTGAGGAACTGAAAGTTCTTCTGCGGGTCATCTTCTGCCACAACCTTTCTTTTTCCAAACCGGGCACTTGCCAAACAGGAGTTGGTAACCGGAAGAGTCAGCCGAGTTAGCGAACAGTTGGGCTTTGGGAATCAATACGGGTTTCCTGTAATGCAAGGATGGAGAACCCCATACCCAGAGCCATATTGAGCTTGTCGGAGAGACTATTAAGATTCCAAGTACCAAGGAAGACCCCTTCTGTCATACCTCCAACCAAGGAAATAGTCCTATACATAACACGAGGTTCAAGCTCTTGAGTGAAAGAGCCTCCAATCATATCAGTGCATTGAGTACCTAGTCAAGGCTGACCAGGGAACCCATCATCGAGGACGCAGTAATGTCTTCCTCCATCTGTTCTTCCTGCGCCTGCATCTCCGGGGATTGGAGAAGAGATTGGAGGGCCTGCAGCTGCTCCGTCATGGCCGTAATTTGATCCATGATCTGTCCTCTGGACAAAGTGCCAGTCGCTCCCTGAGTCTGAGTGGAGTTCTTGGTAGGTGTGCTAATGCGAATCCTCTTCTTGGGACCTTCATCTACCAACGGGGCATTCCACCAAACAGAGTGGGTGGGACCATCCTTTCTGGCCACGCTGGATCCATTTCCTTTGCCTTTCTGCAGTTGGCTCTTGAAGGACGGGTAGTTGATGGGGTCAACTTTGGGAGGGTCCACTTTACCAGATGTAATACAGTAGGGCTGTGTAGCCAATCTGCTCGACCTGTCACGGGAGCGATCCGGCCCAAAGTTCCCATGAGTTCCTTCATCAGCAAAGAAAGGCACAGTTGGGGAATGTCAGAATCACCGAGTGGAATGGGTCGAGACTCTCCAACCTTCCTCTTGTTTGTTCCAATCGAAGGTAGAACCTGCGAGAGGGCTCGCCTAAGATTGCAAATGGTAACCTTTTGCTCCTCAATGACCTCCTGTTGCATCTTCAATTGCTTAGCCAGTCTTTGATTCCGTTTTCTCAGTGTGCTTTGCAGTTGAATAGCTTCATCAAATGCCGTTTGAGCATCCCTACATCTGCTGAGCATGTGAAAGGCAGAGGAATCCGAAGTAACTGACTCGTCGTCATGTTCCCCACCCCCACCAATCAGCCCAGGGGAGTTCGCCCATATATAAACGATAGCAATCTGTCCACCTGTCACGTCGAAGTACCATCCCAGCGCCGGGTCAGATTCCGGGGGGAAACTGAAATAGTCCAGGAGAATGGATCTTACCCTTTCAACAGTGTACTCATCGACTCCCAGCAAACCAGCAATAGTGGAGGGTGAGCTTTCTGGGATAAAATGCAAAGGTTTGATCTTCCAACTCACAAATTTGCTAACAAGAGTTTGCTGATCCTCATCAGAAACATGCGTGGTGGCCAAAGCAACAGCATCTTTGACATCCCTTTCATCTTCCTGATCGAGAAATTGTTTGGCCCTCGTCCGTTGAACAGCTTTGCCCATGAGCTTTCGACAAGCAGTTTTGAGACCCAAGACTTGGGCTTCAGACATTTTGGTAAGCGTCATAATAACCCGGGTTTTCTCTGCCAGAATTTGCGCATAGGTCCGATATCGGTTTAAGGGGAAGAGGTCCCTAATTTCATCGTTGAACGGCGTGAGCTGCAAATACTGCCCCAGTCTCATAAGATCCACTGGCACCTCCTGTTCAAGCATACCCCCCTGTAAGGATCTTTTGCGAGGCAAGGCCGGTCGTCCGTCAATGCCCAGCATAGGCTCGTCCTTCATCCACACCTCAACCCGTCTTATGCGGGGGAGAGGTGGCCGGGGATCTGTGTCTTCAACATAGATCTTCTTGTGCTTGCGCCTCTTCCTCTTGTGAGGCTGATCCTCACCTCCACTCGTCTTAGCCGGGGGCGGTGTGCCCTCACGAGGCCGCTCATAATTCGGGGCCATGGTGAACGTCCGAATATCGGCGAAGTGAACCTTCATGCGTCGACGGTCCTTGCCGTTTTTCCTCCATGCCGGCTCTCTTTTCGTGGGCTTCTCAGGTTGATTGCTCTGCCAAATTGTTTCATCATCAGTGGAATAGTAGGAGTACTCGTCTCCACCGCCTCCGCAAATACGGAGAGTAAGCTCCATGCCACGTGCACCGAGATAGGCCAGAATGCAAACCACAAAGAGAAAAAAGCCTGCAACTGCGAAATTGCTCTGTGCATTCTGTGCCCCATAGTCCTGCTCCACCGCTGATATCTCTTCTCAACCGTGGCAAAGGGCGCCTCCTCGGTAGTGGGGTCCGCAGACTATTATGGAGCGGCCTCCCCCCGGGGGAACGGGATTGTGACTTAAACCGGATCCTTCGCTGCCAAGCAGGCGCGTCCGACAGGCTCCACACTTCTCCCAAGCCTCGATATCCATCTGAACCAGAGGCCTGATCCACAGTCTCAGCTACCTCCTCTTCTCCATGCGGCTCCTCATCTTCTTTTCTTTCGTGCTCCTCGTTTTCCACGAAGACTTCTTCCATCTCTTCGTTCTCTTCATCTTTTCCTTTACCATCATCATCTGGGGGTTGTGAAGAGCCCCAAGGCTCCAAACCAAGTCTCCGACATTTGGCAGCAAATATCTCATCTTGATCAATCTGCTCGTGTAGCACACAATATCCATATTGCCAAATCATCCTGTAGTCATGCGGTCCACGAGCCCAGTATACATTGTACAAGAGCTCCGGTGGAATGTCCTGGCCCACCAAATAGACCCCATTAGTCGATTTATACAGGGGCCTCTCTGCATCCAGCAGTTGCTGGACATTCACTGCAACCACCAAATCGCACCCCGGCCGCATACCTGACTGACCGTGGTTCACAAAATAGGTGGTGCTGAAATGCACATGTTGTCTGTGGCCACATCGCAGCCCCTGTCGTCTGATGGATCCCCAAGCCGCCAAATATGTGCCATGAAATAAAGAGGGCTGGTCCACCTCATCCGGCATTGTGATATGGCGATGCATGTCGTTGCTGAGGTCCAACTCCTTGTTGTGCCCCTGAGTGGCCCGAGCAAGCCAACCATCTTCTCCTTGATGTACCTCAAATCTACCCTTCTGGCACCGACTGACCGCCAACAGCACGCTGTCGATCGAGGCATGTGGCTTCCTGGCCAAAATGTCTTCCACCTTCACGTGCCCATCACTATCCATTTCAATACCCTCCTTCACTGCTCCATGCCGAAGAACAAAAGAAAGGTATCTGCTTATATCATATGTAACTCCAGGGATGTCTGCAAACTGTGAGTTGCTCCGCCCTTTTTTGTGACCTTTGCCTCCTCCGCAGAGATCTGTGCCACTGCCATCTTGCAGATCCTCCAGCCCAGAGCAAGGGGCACACAAGTCGAAAGGAGATCTCTTGTAGGCCTCCCATGAAACCTCGCAATTCTCAAGCCAAATACTGTTCACCCGGATGGCCTCAAAGTGGTTGATCCTGAGTTGTGGGCAAAAACCTCACCACCTGACCAAAGTGATTGAAGTTGCACACACTGCTCACGTTGACCACCCAAATTTCCTGGTGTAGAAAATCGGCAGTTGCCTGAATAGCATCTTCATCAGCCCATTTACCACCTGCTTTGTGCTTCTTCTGGGTCTCCTGATTGGCCTCCATCAGCACCTGTTTTTTGATCCTCCTCCAGCTCCTGGCATGCCCAAAGCGAAGTTGGCTCACAGCGTACCAAAAACAGTTGCCTCTCCCTGCATTGTTCAAGGTTCTCCCCGTCACCGATCCATACGTCGCACCAGGGCCTTCAACGTTCCGTCCAAGCTTGTCCAGGTCGATGTCCAGCCCGCCAAGCTGCTCATCTTCCAAACCGTCAATACTGCAGACGCGGCCAAGAAGCTCCCAAAGACGGAATATCACCTGACTCCATCCGCAAAGGAGCATTGCCACGCCCATCCAGCCAAACAGAAGTCTCACGCCCCCAAGGCAGCTTCCATGGCCGAGATTCACTTTCAAACTTGAGCCAGAATGGCTACGGAATTTATTGTGGCTCATTTGAACACTGGACATCGGGATTGGCTGATTCACTGCTGCCCCCTGGGATATTTCTTTGGCCTTCTTCAGGCACAACGGGGCAACATACTTCAGGCAAGCTATAGTAAGTGGTTAGATGGATGTGTCCTTCGTTTCGCTTTGCTTGAGTGTACCCTTGTTGGTGTTTGTTTTAGAAAGGAAACCAAAGGGAACCCACAAATTGGTTTGGGCCCCTATTTTGCGACACACCCAACCACTCCGCGGGAACTTACAGGAGTGCATGAACTAGGGCGCTTCTACCAATGATTTGAATGCTGAACATGACTGGCTCGTCATGAGCGACATGTGGCCATGGGTCAAAATCCAAATCGTACCCCCAGTCAACATCCCAATCCCCACTAAAATTGGCTCTAAAATGGGTGGTGCACAGTGGTTTTGACAACCACAGCCATGTTTCGAACACTCCTTCCAGAAATGGGTTCCAAGCTGGGGAATCGTGGAATTCCGAGCTTTCCGCCATATTGCCTTGGAAGGGTGAGGCGAACAAGCCTCTTCGGGGCTATCTAGCACAAAGAAAGCGAAACCATAGGTGGACTTCTTTGAGAAATAGATGGGTGTCCCTGGTAAATGAAGCGTACAACCAATCCGAAGTGGAACCAATCTATTGTTGACCAAACTAAGCGATCAAAAGGACTCCTATGGACACCACCTTTTGGTTCGGCCTTTTTGGGCACTTGCCCTTGAGATGGGGGAGGCAAATCAAAGGACCACCTCAAAGAGGGCTCCCAAACAGTTGCACCATGCAACTCCCGCACTTAAACAAACCGGATCGACCTTTGTGCTTGGCGTGGCAGTATACTGTTGTCCTTTCTTTGCGGGTGGGGCATGCACTTATGACATCCGCTTCTTTTACAAACGTATCAAGCTGGGTGAGTGATGAGTCAGACTAATTCATCAACATAAACTATAAAATGGGTTTGTCACATAGGGGAACCTCCCAAATGGCTTCCTTTTTGTTTTCGTTTGCACTTAGAAGAGTACCTTGAAACACAGAGAACACAGACACACTCTCAAATGCATCCGCTGAAAGAATCCTGCAAGCTTGCAAGTCCCACCGATCGCCATAAATTGCCCCATATCAAAAGAAAAGGCGTAAAAAAGCTGTCTACGGCGGCCAGGCCACCTGTGCTGGACGGGAAATCCGTCTAAGAACAAGAAACCCGAGCCCTGCTTGGTAGAGTCAGGCCGCCATTTCAGACTTTGGATCCGGCTAGTCCTTGAGCGCCCCGGCAGCTGCGTCCATGAGCTTGTTCCCCGAGAGGTTCACGTCCTCACGCAAGGCTCACAGGTGAGGCCGGAGGGTTGGGTCTGAAAGTGGAAGGGGGATCCGATGGACAAAAATCAGGGCACCATGAACATATATAAGACCATGAACAATATAAGGCAACAGAGTAAGTACGTATACACAAACATATCAGCATAACATGTCTCCCTGAGACGCAACCTTCATGACATCGCTGGTTTTACACCCGTTCGGCAAGCATGTGATTTCTGGCCAAGAGCGAAATGGCTTGAATTTGCGCCCAAACTCTCTCCCTGAGTGGATTGGTCAGAAAAAGTCCAACTTGTTGTTTATCACTAAAATGGTCTTCCCAAAAAGTATAGAGTCTAGAAACTCAGAGAGTGAGCTAAGAACAAACTCCGTTGCGGAATCTCAGCTACAACCACACTGGTCAGGAAAGCGGACCCCTTGGTGCCTGTGGGACGCAGTTGCCATGTCAACCCGTCTTGGGCTTGCTGGCTATGCATTTGTTTCTTACATCCGGAACCACCGAACTCGAGTGGTTGGACATGAACCCCCACCAAAATGATCTCCACCAAATTGGTCCATCCCATGCTCGTTCCAATTCCAGGCAAATATGTTGTGAATCCGAAGTAACCCTCGGACCTATCGCCAATGGGCAGTTCTGCGAAAAGTCTTCAAGGCCCAACAAATTTGCTTCGGGCAAGGACGAAATGCTGCACCAGCTAGGATGGACGAAGCCGTATAAATATCTATAAAACTGACTGGCACAAACCACCTACCCTCCCTCCCACTAACATGGCAACTGCGGGAGAATTCCCGGAAGATTAATTTCCTCTTATGAAAAACCCTTGGTCAGGTGCCAAGTTGGTGGAAGGAAGGGGACCTGGTACAGGAGTTTGTCCATCCATGCAAAGCATGACGGACCAAGTGCCACGCATTTCCTGAGAATCCTTGGGCGTAGAATCCGGTGCTTGAACCTAGACTCTCCATAACCCTTTCAAAATGCGGTCATTACTCTAAATACTGGGGTCATGGAGCTATTCTTGAAAGGTCATGGAGACTCTAGGTAGGAGCTCTGGGCACATCTTTCGCCAATGCTGTGCTTGCACCGAAAGGTCCTGCAAAAAACCACTTGCTCGGCACGGTGTACCGGTCTCCATGACACACACTCAGACACACTGCGATAATTCCAAAGAAACAGTACAGCTCATTTTACCCAGGAGAGCTCGCCATAGAACTGGCCGAGATATCCGTAAATTCGGAATCCCTTGCTTAAAGTTAGAGCGCGTGATATGTCATAAACCCCTCCAAACGCCAACAGTTCCATTGAGTCTGGGCTGCTCCCAGATCCCCGCCACAAGTCGCAAACACTTGCAGTCAAAGTGGACACACCGCAAAGCCAACTAAAAACATCCAAAAACCAAAGGAAACAAGTGGAAATTGCAAGACTAAACCAACTAAAAACACGTTCAACCCTTTAAAACCCTAAGTTGAACCGGATGCCTGGGGAAACCAAGGATCAACCCGCCCCCCCGAGCGAGCGGGGGTTGCCCTGTCCGTGAGCCGTGAGGCGCGGCGCACGAAGCTGATAATCGCCTCGCGGGCAGTCCACCATTCCGTTCCGTTCCCCCCCCCCCGACGCGAACAACCAAAACCCCGGGTGATACTGTGGATGGTTGCGAAATCCATTTCGCACTCAAGAAACTCTAGAATGATGATTCCCTTGTAAATACCAACAACAAATGGTTTCCCATGGTCTCAAAGTGGTGCAGGATTTCGGCCAACCACAGTATGGAGCCCATCTAAACCAGTTCCAGGTATTTTTGACCCAACTCACCTACAAAGGACGCCCCTGAGCCCAGCTGATATCTCCAGCCCAAAAAAGCGAACCAAATCTCCTTTTGAACCCTCCCTGAAAGAGGTACTGTGGAACCCATCTAACCAGTGCCAGGTATGGTTCACCCAACTCACCTAAAACGGACCCCTCTGAGGTGAGGAGATCCCCCCGGCCTAGAAGCCATGAAGGGAACCGAATCTCCTTTTGAACCCTCCCTGAAAGCTGCAACCCAAACCACGAAGCCAATCTGGGCAGAGACCCCATAGCTTGCAGCTGTTCGGGAAAATGCAAAGGCGGTGTCTCAGTTGAAAAAAGATGCCTAAAAGCAACTTGGCGGACTGTTTTTTGCTCGTTGCTTCTTCCCTCTGGTGACTTTCCTGCAGCAGCAATGTGTGTTTTTTCCTGTGCCACCGCAAGTTCGAACTTGGCCAAGGAATTGATAGGTTCCAATCCCTCAAGCGAGCAATCGATCCCGGATGGCTGGAACCTCGGCAGGTACTTCCCGTATCAATTTTGGCGTGACATGGGGCCACCAGCACGACCGGTTCGAAGGCGGTTCCAGCGCCGGAGCGCCAAATCTGGTCAATCGGAAGGCCCCCCAAACTGTGGACGCTTGCGCGCGAAATCCAGCCGTTTCGCACCACCGAACTCAGAAACCCAACGGCTTCTGATTCTCTGATTCGATTCCCCCAACAAAAATGCCAATTGCAAGGTTCTGGTTTCAAGTACCCATGGCTTCATTTCGTTTTGCCAAATGGGTTTCGTCCATCCAAACGCACCCCCCCCCCCGAGCCGCACCCCGAGCCCGCCGCCTGCATCCCCTTGCAGTCGAAGCAGTTCGCCTGGCCACAGCGAGCTCGCGGCTGGGCTGCTCTGCAAGCGACTCTTTGCCTGGTCCTCCAGTAGAGAGGTCAGAATAAGGGTACCTTTTTGTTTGTTCTCCTTTTTTTTTCTTGTAGTCTATTTTAGTAGGGGAACCCTCCCCAAAAAAGGAACGGTAAAAGGGCACCTAGCTGGGGGACTATAGTTGCATATCCCACGCTTCTGCAAGAAGCCTATGGACCAGAACGTGCCCCCCCCACGGAAACAAAGGGATGATGGACCAGATGGCTTGTTAAGGAAACACGGGATGGCGTTGCTTGAAAGAAACGAGCACACCCTAGCACAACCAAGGAAGACACCTCCAAAACACCAGGGATGGTGTTAAAAAGGAAAAGAAATGAGCACACCCTAGCACTACTATGGAGGACACCTCTAAAACACCAGGGATGGCGTTAAAAAGGAAAAAAGCAAACCTACGGAACATACCCCAAACGAGAGAGGAACGATAAATGCTGCCCATCTCCGGACCTAGGGTCGGGTGCAGAACCCAAAATGACCAGCACACATCAAACACCCAGGGTGGCATTGATACATATACGTAAAACGTATTTCAATATGAGCCGCAAACAGTTCTTGCAATTTAACCGCCAAAGGGATCCTCAATGAACATCACTGGTCTTTCGGGTTCCGTGTTAATCTGCTGGATATTCCACCACACATACACACACGCACACAGACACACCCCATCGTGTCCTCGTTGTCAGCCATTTGCATATGATTTGCATCTACGCTTCAAACGGCCTTCACGGAAACTCGACTTTCAGAGTTCCGCCAACCTCGATAACCTAACCATTGAGCAACATCCTTTTGGCTTCAACTAAACGACCTGGACGCCCAAAGGACAAACTTTGTACCACTTGTTTATGGGTCAAAATCCAATCAAAGGAAACCTAGTTGACCCGGCTCCCCAAATCCTGTCAATTTGTTCGAGGGGAACTACTAACTTGTGGACTCACAGGAAAACCTTAAAAAGAAACCGCTCCAAACACAGGGGGAACCCCACAAACAAATCAGGGTAATTGGCTTTGTTTGTGGCCTTAAAGGACCACCTTAAAAGGAAAACCGGACCCTTTTTTTGGGGAGGGGGGAAGGGAAGAACAGACACCCCCCCCAATTTGTCTCCTCCCCTCGCGCATCCGCCCCCGCAAAAGGGCCCCGCCGAGAGGTCGAGCTTGGCGATGTTGGAGCCCAGGCTGGCGGCCACTGCCTCCACCTTGCGAGGCCGAAGGCCCGGGAGGCGTTGGACTTTTCCCGCCGCACCGAAAAGAATGGTTTTGTCTTTTTGCTTAAAGCGACGGACCCCCCCCCTCGGCCCCCCCCCGAAAAACGCAGGTACCATTGGGTGGAAAACAAGTTTACAAACACACACACACACACACACAACAAAAAAAAAAAAGAAAAAGAAAACGGCAACAACCTGCACACAGATTGGGTGCCCATGGTTTCCCCCAAAAAACGGCGGGAACATTGGGTGGCCCCCAAGCCGCCTAAGGAACCCGCCTATGCAACGGTAGACGACCAGCATTTCTCAGTAAGATGCTCACATGAGTCTCTTCTTGTTCGGTGGAAACAAAGGAATCGAGGCCCGTGATCTTGTCCAAAACTCACATTTGTCTGCCTTATTGGGCGGGGGGGGTACCTTTTTTGTTGGTTTCTTTAAAGGGAAACAAGCCGTTGAAACCGGGCTCAATTTGTATCTGAAGACGAACCCACGTTTCCCACAAACAATCAGACCTCTTTCCTCCGACAGGGGCCCTCTTTCAGGCTCTACGTTTGCTTTTGGGAGGGTATCACATTTGCTCAGTTGCCGAGTGACACTGGTAGAAACAGGACAACCCGCTTAATTTTCCTGTTTCTAAGTCTCCTAAGTTGGTTATAACCAGGCTTACTAACCACTTGCCACAAATGTCTTGTTGGGAAGAACTCCCTGGGCTGCAAACATCAAATGCGCGATCAGAATCACTTAAACAGCAACCCAGCTGGGTCACAACCCAGAAAGCTGGTGCAGTCCTAGGGATTGTAATTATACAAACACCCGTGGATTATCACACTGAAAGTCACGCAGCAAAAAAACAAAACGGACGGATCATGCAGAATCTGGCCTTCTTGCTCAATCGTCTCATTTCCACAACAAGGAGCCTATAATAATTACTCGCATTCACCCAAAACTCTAAATTCCAAACCCTAAACTCCCAAGTCGCCCAAGGATGCGAAGGCAAATCTCAAAGAGGCGTCCCACTGCTTGCAATCCAGGCGCTCCTTTGTTGGAGATCCTGCGATGACGACAATGTTTTTGGCCATCGGCATTGGGACAGCTGAGAAATCTTTGTTTGAGAGTGAAGAAATGGGGGAGGGTTCTTCTGCAAAAAGAACCCTGGACAGGCTTTGGCAAAGGGCGTTGGGCTTGCTTGATATTCCGCATGCATTCCTCTGTAAAGCCTTTGTTCAGATCGAGGCGTGCCCTCACTTCAGACCCGCGTCAATGTGATGGAGCATGGGCGCGGTCTGGCAAGAAAAAAACATAGTGACCATCCAGGGGAGGGGATTGCCGAACTTGTCGAAGACACGGTTGTTACACGAACCGTCACTAAGGCACATCATCTGTTTACCTACGTGTCGCGGCAACCCTGTTGACCCAATGTTGCGGATCAGGGGGAAAATCGATCGTCAATTCGTCATATTGGCGCCAAGCATGCTGCGCGCAGCCATTGGGCTCAAAATTGACGGCGGGGCTACCCCGTGCATCTTGGGAAAATGCCGAGGGGAAAATGGGAAGCCTGTTTGGCCTGATTTGTCAAACGTGTTTAAGCTTCGTGAGAACAAATCTGCCAACAGCATGTCAACGTCTGATTGGTGAAGCGGCCCCTGTCGCACGGAACTATTGTAGCTAAAAAGTTGCATACATGGAGCAAGGGCTGCCTTCCGCTCGAAGCCAATGTGCTACAACCCCAAGGCGCGCTACACTAGAATACTCTGACACATCAAGCTGAATTCCCTCAAACTGTACAAATAGTACGCCATGGCAAGTCAACCCAAATTTGCCGAGCAAGGGCCCTCTGCGTGCTCAAGCCGTCCTGTTGCCGCTGAGATTTCCCTCTTCCACCATGGCCACATCCTCCTGTCGGAGCAGCAGGGGCACTACGGTCTTTGCCATCAGTCACTTTCCCCTGATTTGGTGGTTTGGATTTGTGGTTTGGCGATCAAGGGGTAGTTGCCCCACTTCCGCTCCAACCGAATTGGAGCCAGGTTCCAATCCCCAAGCCCAGCTCCCTCAATCCAGAAGGCGGCTGGCGCAACAAACAGCAGGAGTCACTGCAACTTCCAGCACTCCCTCGTGTCGCTACCAATATTTTGTGTTGTTGTGGGTTTGCGTGTACTTTATGGTGACGCTGCTCTGACCGCGTGGTGGTTGGCGCTGGTGATGAGTGATGCTGGAGGGCCGGGAGTTGTTGTGCTGGCGGCACAGGTGTGGCGCGACCGCGCCTAGGCGAGACGATGGCAAACATACCACGCGCTCGCGTTTGTGACGCTCATCTCGATTAGACAAACAAAGAAGCAAGGATGCAGTGGAAGCAGGGATGTCGGCATATTAATTTAGACATGGTTTCCTTTACGGAGAGCCTCGCACATCCCCGCTTCCGCAGATTCGTTCTCCCAATCGATCCTGTAGGAATGGATGTGGGTTTTGCGCAGCATGAAGGCTCGCGTCCTTCGCTGGGTTCCCGTGGCAGGTATGATGTCAACCTTTAGGTGAGCCGACCAGATCGAAATGCACCGCAACAAGACCAACCGTTGCTCCGAGGTTGATCGGGGCATGGCGGTATTTTCCAGATCCTTAGCTTTTGGCCCGAGGTTCTTACATGTAGCAATCTGATCGCGATCTGGGAGGCCCGTTGGGCTGGCCAATCACGTCCTGGACATGCATTTGATCACGTTTCAGACAATCATTTTCTCTCAACCCTGAAAAAGGATTTCACGGCCATTCGGGGTTTTCAGTGTTTCAGGAAATTTCACGGATTTTCACGGGATTTCACGGCCTTTTGCGTAGGTTTCACGGTCATTTCACGAAACTTCACGGTTTTTCACGGCCATGTCTGGCCGGACACCGCTTTCACGGCCATTGGGCGGGTTCACGGCCGTTTTCCCCCGTCGCACACGACCCCCTAAAACACATTCACACGCATGTCTAGGGTCTTGCCTTTTTGACAAGACGAGAACAGCATAACAAGCAAAACGCAATGTGGAGGACACGCCGAGAACATGAACAGCTACCATCGTAGCCTTCATCGCCATAGGCGCCGCAAATGCTGGAGCATTTCTTTGTGGCTATGTAAATACCTAGAACTTCCTGTGACGGAAATGTCTGCCGCAACGCGTTGCGGCGGAAATTCCCGCCGCATTCCAGAAAATCAGCCGCAAACAAAAACAAACGCCGCAACCAAAACAAAAACGCCGCAACACCGTTTGCTTTCCGGGAATTTCCGCCGCATTCCCGCCGATTTCCGCCGCATTCCCGCCGATTTCCGCCGCAAATCGGAGGGTAGAAGAAACTGAAAACAAGTTCTGCCGCAATTCTAAAAAAACGCCGCAAATCAGGAAGAAGTGCCGCAAATCCAAAAAGGCGCCTTTTTTGATTTGCGGCATAAATTTCTGCCGCAACGAATCTCTAGGTATATATGGCTCAGGATTCAGTGACAACTGCCAATTGGGCGTCGGATGGGCGCGCAATGGGCATGTGGGCGGAAGGGAGGGGGTGTGATTTGTTGTGGGGGCCGGCCGAAATTTTCTATGCTGTCAGAGCCTTGAACCCCAGCAGGGAAAAGACCTACCGCTGAGCGGCGCTAGGGTTAAAAGCCCGTTCTAGGGCCAGGCAAAACGCTACGTGCCCTATTGTGAGTCTTGGTGGTCTCGGGAGCTTGCATGCTGCTGGAACCACGCCCTTTGATTCAGGAAACCCTTAGCTGGTGGTTTGGCGATCAAACGCCGCGGTGAACAAGCCATCCCCTGGAACCTGTGATCGGGATGTGCAGTAAGTCCTCTCTCTTCAGGCCGTGTGGCTTTGACTTGTGCTCATCTTTGCAAGCTTTCGCAAAGTGTGAAACGACCTGCCGGCCGTTGAACATGCTGAGGATGCCGGCAGTTGAACATGCGGATGATGATCTAGCAGGTACGCCCGTTGATGTTTCACGATCTGCCGTAACAGCGCCTGCGCTACTCCTCACTCTTTTTCCTGCAAGTTTTTGCGTGTACGTTGAAACACTGCAGGGCAAGGGGCCAGCAACTCAAATCGCAGCACACGGCTCGCAGCGTGTGAGGGAAACAACAAGTCGTCACCGCTGGCGCAGGCCGTTCCCAAGGCCCCTAATGTCTGGCGATCGGTCTCTTCGTGACTCAGTTGCATGCTCTCAAGAATAGAGCCACCAGAGAGTTTGCGGTGCTGTTTCTCACTCTCCTTCCCGAGCCCTCAACCCGTATACATTCAAACGACACAGGGCCAATGACCTTGTCGCACTCGCGACAAAAGGCTTGGTCAGCTCGCCCGGTGGCAAAAACCCCAATTCCACGCAAATCGAAAATCTTCACAGCCATGCGTAGAGGCTTTGTGAACCTTCGTGGCACGATGCTTCAAAAACAAGCCTTCAACGCCGCGCGCTCAGCGCCGGCCGAAGTGAGCTGCTTGGCATGGCCGCCAGCCAACCAGCAGCCCGTGTGAGATGAGCATTGGGAATGCGGTCTGATCCACTAGACTGATGGTGGCTTCAACACCTTCACAATGTAACTACTCCACGAAAGGCTAAATTCCCCCGACAATCAATCTCTGTATGCCTGGGATTGGGCACCGTTTTAACAGGAGCCGCGCAGCCACTCATGCGGCAAGATTGGGCGTGTTGCGCATCATTTTGCGCGCATGGAGCGCTTTGCTAGTGCCTGCCTGGCCAACTGGCCGATTGTTCCAATTGCTATATGACTGGTATTTTCTGTAGATTTGCAGTTGCGATTTGCCATTCGCCTCGGCAAGCAGAGTGCTGGAAATCACTTGTTTGAGTAATTGAGTACTGTAGGGGGAGAGTGTTCATCGTCGCTCATGACCAAACCTGCCGAGTGCTGTTGCAGCAGCACCAGTTGCTGCATAAGTACGGAATGGGGTGCTTCTCGGTAATGAGCCGGGCAGAAAGAAACCGCGCCGTGGAAGCCGCAGACATCATGGCAAAGAGCTTGCCAGCCGTACAAGAATCGCTTAAGAAACTCGACGGCTTAGGCCGCTTGCATGACTTGGTAACTAGAACAGAAAATCAGGAAAACAGGCTGAAACTGTCCAAGGAAAGACCGGCTAGCAACTTGGGGCTCACATGATTCCGGGCTGGCCGCATCAGAACCGGCATCGAACTCTGCGCGACAAGCGAAAAAGAGCCTTGAGAGGCATACTGTCCAAAGCCTCACCAATGGTAGACGCCAAGCTGTGCTTGGGACTTGTGGTCAAAGATGCGCCGAACGAACAGCTCACGCCAGTGCAGTGTGCGGCCGCCCAACAAACCCAGCAACCGTGCCGCCAGCTGTGACGCAGGGCCAACGCCGCATTTCATGAGTATTCCGAACTTGACGTGGCTTTGACCAAATTGCAGGCGGTGGGGCTGTGCCCCATCTGGATGTCTAAATGATGAAAGGCATGTAGCTGGATAACGAAGCACCCGGGCTGCGCTAGAAAGTTGGGACACTTCCGGCATCATGGGCGCGAGCGTTGCTTCGCAAATGAGATGCGCCTGATGGAGTGCCCAAAAGGAAGGAAAAATGTGCTCCTTGTTTGTCAACTCGGACTCCTCGCAGCATAGAAAACCCCCGGAAAGCGGCACAGATAATACATGACGTGTTCGAATCTTAACTGAGACTGGTTGACGCCAAATAAGGCTGACCACAAAGCAACTGCGACAGAGCGACTTTCATCGCTCAAAACAACGCAACTCACGCGGACAGACCTTGGCCCGCAGGATCGCCACATTCTGCGGCGCGGCGTCGCGCTCCCAGATGCGAACTATGAGATCTGCTGCAGACCCAAAGCGCATCCGGTTCAATACGTCCGACCCATCTAGGGACGCCTTGAGATGGTTGGCAGGTTAGTCAACGCAATTGGTTCTTGCCCCTTGCCGATGCAACAGCAACTTCGCAGCCTGCCATCGTGACTGCGCACGCCAAGTCCTTCTGAGCAGGCTCCTTCTGGCCGCGCTGGCTGTCATAGATGCATGAGTCTAGTTTTGGCCCCAGTACGTGCTGTGCGCGCGGAGCCTGCTCTTGCATTTGCTTTCTCTTTC